TTCTTGTCTGGACAGAAAGTATCACAAACTTGGAGCATGCATTGTTTAATGGGCTCCCTATCACTGAGAGCTTTATTATTTTGGTTGATCTTTACAATATGGTAACTGGTAGTTTGGCAACATTTTGGAGGCGATAAAGGTTACTACCTGGGACTTTGGTAATAATGTGAGCAGTACTCAGTTCCGATTTTACGCATTATTTTGCGTGAGGGAATGAGGAGGATCATGGGATATTGTCATGTTGATATTAATGGACGGATTACGGTTCTTTAATCGGAAAAAAAAGGGGGAAATCGGGAAAAAATCTGGAAATTTTGTATTTGGCTTTATTCTGTTGTGTGAAACAGTGTTCGTGAATTTTTGGATCCCATGGCCGTAACTAAAGTAAATTCGAAATGGGTATTTATGTATGTATTAATTTAATGTATGTGCTCATTTATATTTTAAGTAGTGTTTTTGAATTTAATTATATTTTAATTAAATGATAGTTAAGACACAATAACACGCCGAATAAATACTAATTCAAAAGTCAAACAACAAAAATCAGCGTTAATTTACAAAATTTTCACAGGACTAGTTTCGATGGTTTTACCGAACCATCGAAACTAGTCCTGTGAAACTAGTCCTGTGTTGGCGGTTTTGCAGCTGAAGATGATGGTTCGGTAAAACCATCGAAACTAGTCCTGTGAAAATTTTGTAAATTAACGCTCATTTTTCTTGTTTGACTTCTGAACTAGTAAATGATAGTTATTTTGTGAATTTTATGTTTGTAGGAATTTGGTATACGTTTTAGTTGAAGTAAACGTGCATGGAAATAATTTAAATATCTGACACTAAGTATTTGTAATGGTTGCGGTATGAATTTGTTGGTGATGTGTATAATGTAATAGATGATTTAGAGGTAAAAGTTTTTGGATATTTTATTTGGTTGATCTTTACAATATGGTAACTGGTAGTTTGGCGACATTTTGGAGGCGATAAAGGTTACTTACTACCTGGGACTTTGGTAATAATGTGAGCAGTACTCAGTTCTGATTACGCATTATTTTGCGTGAGGGAGATGAGAGATCATGGGATATGTCATGTGATATTAATGGACGAATTATGGTTCTTTAATCGGAAAAGGGGGGAAATCGGGAAAAAATGTGGAAATTTTGTATTTAGCTTTATTCTGTGTTGTGTGAAACAGTGTTGTGTAATTTTTGGATCCCATGGCCCTAACTAAAGTGAATTTGAAATGGGTATTTAGGCATTGTGATAAAGAGAAGTTTGCTTTTTATTTAGCGGAGGAAGTATGGAGGAAAATTCGCAGAAAAAAAATCTTTCAATAATTTTATTGAATGAATTAGAAAAGTGTATCCGCCACGTAATCAAGATTCTGAAGAAGATTAGGTAAGTTAGTATTTTTAATTATTTGAGGATATTATTTTTTATGCATTGTTCTAAATGTAAGGTGGAAAGGAATTTGGTATTATTGGGAAATTGTTATTAGCAATGATTTAGTTTAAAGTAATTAGGATTGTAAGGTATTTTTATAATTTAATGTATGTGCTCATTTATATTTTAAGTAGTGTTTTTGAATTTAATTATATTTTAATGAAACGATAGTTATTTTGTGAATTTTATGTTTGTAGGAATTTGGTATACGTTTAAGTTGAAATAAACGTGCATGGAAATAATTTAAATATTTGATACTAAGTATTTGTAATACTTGCGTATGAATTCGTTGGTGACGTGTATAATGTAATAGATGATTTAGAGGTAAAAGTTTTTGGATATTTTATTTATTTTATATGTGGAAATGTTCATATTTGTAAAGGGTAAATACTTTTTCGCGATCAGGTAATTTCATATATGTTCTTTTTACCGGCTTTAAAGATTGAGAAAATTGTCATGTATTTTCGTGAAATTTTTCTAATTTATGAGAAAAAAGCAGTGTACATGGATATAGTGAAGAGTGTGCGTAATGCCATTTTTGTGCAATTCTGGAATGTTTTTTCAAGTAAAAATAAGTCGGCGTGTACATGGTTTATGTGTATGTGTTATTTTGAAAAACGCGTAAGGAGTATGGTATTGTGCACTTTTTCCCAATTTTGCAGTGAATATTTGTCATGATTAAGCAGTTTTGTTTGATAAAATTTCTAGCAAAAGTGTAATTCGGCTAGTAGATTGTTGGAAGAAGTGTTCAGTAGATAAAAAGAAAAGAAACATGTCTTTACTTCGTGAAGACAAAATGGCGGCGGGAAAAAAAATAGAGGGTTGCTGTAGGAGAGTTGGTCGCCAAATTTTCGCCAAAAAAACGCCAAGTTACCATAATGTAAAGATCAACCATTATTTTTAGCAATATTATATGCTATAATGTAACTTGCATGTGTAGCTGCTTCTTGGATACTGTTTATCCTTTTTGAAAAAATTTTGTCAGGCCTGAATAATTTTATATAAAGGCTTTCTGCCATTTTATTTTCTTTTAATGTTTGGATACTGCTTTGCAACTGGAATTCTTATCCTTATATGTGAAATGACGATGGGAAATGTTATATTCTTTGAAGAGTGCTACAGCTTCATTCCAGATGAGACACACTTGGTGTATCTTTTATAACTGTAAAGAAATATTTCCAGGTCCAATCATCCATTAAAAGCATGGCACTTACTGAATCAAATTTAAAATTTTTTAGTAGCCATTTTGGGGTTGAAATATTTTACGAATAAACCAAACAAGCACTAGCTATGCTATACTTTTAATAATTTACCCACTTATTCACAATGGTGCTGTATGTTCACAATCTTTCCTTATGCAATCAATAATATTAGAACTTGCGTCAAAAGACAAACCCGCTGGCTGGATCTTGTGCACTCTGCCACATATGAGGTCTAATTCACTTATATTGTATTCCCATATGTCTGCTCCCCGAGAAAGAGATAACGCTACAGCCATAACTAACAAAGAACTTCTGCTTTTAACTTGTGGCGATTGAAAACTATCTGTGCTTGCTATTTCCATCGATTTACGTTTTACAGAACAAGAATAGAAAAAGTAAAAAGATCACCATTTCTTTGAAAAAAAGAAAGAAAAAAATAATATTTAAACAAAGTAGAAAACTAGATGGATATATAATATATAAATATATATTTCTTTTAATTTGCCTCAGACCGGCAAATTCAAATTCTATCCGCGGGCCGGATAAAGCCTTCCGGCGGGCCGTAGTTTGCCCATCCCTGGTGTAGGGAATGTTTTTGTGGCATTCTCTGGGTGCAAACATCATTGTAAAAGGTATGATGGATTAACAGAAATGCGCATCTGCCCTTGGGGACCATGTCCGCCCCTACATGCGAATATTTTTTCTTCAGAATGATGGCATCTACTAGAAGGACAATGTAAAGTTTCATACAGCTCACAGTGCACGTGCATGGTTTGAAGAGCACCATGGTGACTTTACCATATTCCCCTGGTCAGCAAACTCACCACACTTAAGCCCAGTCGGGAATCTGTGGGACCTCCTCTACTGGGTTGTTGGCGCCATGGATCCTCATCCGCGCAACCTAGTGCAGCTGGCCACTGCACTGGAGTTGTCATGGCTTAACATCCCAGGGAACATCTTCAAGAACCTAATGGACTCTCTTCCTGCATGTCTCACAGCACTCTGCTCTGGAAATGGTGGTTATTCTGCTTTTGACAGGTGGTCACATTAATGTGATTTGATTGTGTATAATAGTATTAGGAATGATATATGGTAAAAGAAGTGATGATATGTATTCTGCAAAATTTAATATGCTACTTTGTAAAAAAAAGTTCATTGATGTTAAAGCTGAACAAATAAATATAGTAATAATTATATTGTTTGTAAAAGCTCGACAAATAAATTTAATAATAATTGTGATGTTTAATGTTAGGTTTCCCAAACCTTTTTCATGATCTGGTTGCTCTAATATTTTTCTAGCAAAACTCAGTAAAAGTTAATGGCTTATTGGTAAATTAACCTCTTCCTCGTCTTTAGCGCGTCTAGCGCGTTCAAGTGAAACTACCGCAGGGCAGCCGTAACATGCCTCAAACGTTCTTCTACATTTTAAAACTTTTAAACGTTTTAAATGCTTTCTAAATGTTTACTTGTTTGAGTTTTTATTTTTTTTGTGTGTTTTTTTTAAAAGTATTATGTGATGCAGATTTAATAATTAAAATTTGTATTTTAAATTATCAACGTATGTTTCTTTTTTATGCATTGATAATGTTAAGCACAAAAGCCACCAACTTGAACTCCATAAATAAATTTTGCCTTTTCATCTGTAAGGAACTGCCAAATTACAGCAAGGGGGTTGCTGATGTAGGTTAAGTATTGATTTTTGTTTGTGATTTATTTATATAATGCAATAGTGCATTTTTCAAAGCAGTATTTCAGCCTTTTATTCTAAAGTGATGACAGACTATCTTTTTTATTATAAATTGTTATTTTTATTTGTTTAGTGAATTCATTCTTTCCCTTAGATTGTCTTAGCAGGTGATCGATTACAAAAATTGGTAGTTAAAAGAATGATGGATAAAACTTGCACTGCTCTCCCTTATTCATGTTCTTAGGAAGAAGTCTGCCATCTTTGACAAGTTGTCATTTCATGATGCACAAGATTGCTTATAATAAATTGCTTCATACAATTTTGTATGAATATGTATTTGTTTATATGTATTGCTTACCTTATCTGTGTAATCAATAACAGAAGTCAACATTTTGTATTTTAATACCTCATTTTTTTGTTGTAATTTGATGTTTATATAAGTATCAAGAAACTGTAATTATTTAAAAAAATAATCTGAATTATTTTATATCCCATTTAATTTATATCAGTTTGTTGATATTTTTTTCGGGGGGGGGGAGATTTTCATTACTTTGTATGATGATTTGATCATTTTAGCTTTTAGTTGTACTTACTATTATACAATTCAATATACTTGTGTTAATATGTATGGCTGTGGGAGTTAATTTTGTTGTTTCCACTTCCCTGCAATTTAGGTGGAAAGCTCCTTATGTGAAGCTAAAGAAGTCTATGTTCTGATGCAAAATAATTATCGCATATCTAGAAATATTCGTGCTCAGTGGTTTTTCAAAAATCTAAATAAGAACCTGACATTGAAATGGAAAACATCACAAGTAATAATGTGCTTTTTATGATCTAAATATTCAAAACTAAGAAATACCTCTGAAAAGCTGTGTTTAGTGTTCACATTGTTGTGATATTTTTCCTTTTAATATTCTAAATAACATTAATGTATTTTGTAGGAAAAACTTACATATGAAATTGAAGTAATATCTGCAATTCCAAAATATGCTGAAAAATTTGAAGTAGATGATGTAACAAATAGCTCTACAGTTAGAATTGTTGCAGATACTAAAGTGAATTTTTTATCAACCCAGTATCGACTGGCATTTTGCTTAGACCTGAGTCCATCTGTGGCAACAATAGTAAGACAGTTTACTTTTATTGGTATTGATGTATGCAATCTACTACTTAGCAATTTATTGCTTAATTGATACCACTAAAATATTTTTAGAAAACAAATACAAATAAATAAGAGTACATAAATAAAAATGAATTTACTGAATTTTTAATTCCACTAAATTTAAATTGCTTTAGTTTTACAAAGCAAAAACAGTAAAGAAAAAAAAAGGGAGAGCCCTAAAATGGCTGTTTTTATGAATTTATTAGTCATATTCATTATGAATGTCTTGCAACATGCCAAAAAATAATTATTCTTTTTATAAATGTATCTCTATCGTGCTTCTGTGAGATAATGTGGAAGTATTTGCAGTATGGTACTCTGCATATTGTGAAGAATCTTTAGTTTCAAAATCTCTGAGTACAGTTCAGTTTTTTGAGTATTAGTACCATCTGTAGGCCAGATCTTTTGATAGTTTACAGTTTGATGATCGTAGGATAAAATTGCCTAAGTTATAGATTGCATACTACATCAGTGTGTTATTTTATTTATAAATTAGTGTGTTTATTATCACTTTGTTTTCTTTTTATAATATACCTTTCTCCTCCCTTTTTTGGGGTAGAAAAATTATCTAAATTATCCTCTTGCTATTATCCTCTAGAGATTATCTAAATTATCCTCTTGCTAACAAATTAAAATTTCACATGTACTAATTTTAGTTTTGATAATCTCTCTACAGTAACTGAGAGAAATACTTTTTCTGAACAAAATGCAATCATTTCTACATGTCTGCTTATCTTTTCATACTTGAATTATCATGAGAGCAAATTATCTTTTCTTGCAAAAGTCTAAAAATGCTGTCAAATGTTTAAAAAAGGGAGGGGGGAGGGGGAAATCTTTTTTTACTTTTCTAAATTGGGAATTCAGATGATTTTACAGCGGATGTAAATGTAAAATTGTTAATTAAAAAAATCGTGAATTTCATTTAGATTGTGGGCGCAATAAACACCCAACAGTATTATACCAAGTATCACGTTTTAGGTAATGGCTTAGCTAGCAGCATGACAAAACAGAGGGAGTGAAGTAGCATCTTGATAGCAAGATAGCTGAAGCTAAATTGTGCAGTTAATCCAATATGGAGGCTTACCAAAAGAAGGTTTTGGTTTAGGTTAAAAAGTCTTCAGTTCTTGAAATTTTAAGTTCTCAATTAGCAACATTGTCAGCATTACAGAAGCCATGCAACATGGATTGATCTAGAAATGACACATTCCAGAAAACTTATTACAATTTTTAAAATACAGAGGGGGGGGAGGAATTACGGGGTTACCACTAGTTAAAATTATAATTTTGATTTACATATTTTTAATTTTACACTCACACATATATGCATATATATATATATATATATATATATATATATATATGTAGTGGGGGAGTTGAAGATGCTAAATAACAATTCCAACGTTGTTTTCCACACCACAGAACATTTAATAAAGATAATCAGAAAAGGTACAAATTAGATTAAATACAAGTGCCGTTTGATACAAACAGGAATCTGTATAGTTTTACCAGTCTTATCACATAACCGATTAGTGCTTACTCGCACTTGCTGATGTATTAAACAATCAATTTACCACCTTTGCGTGGAGAACTACAGTTCCTTATTCTACACCTTCACGTGCAGACAGACATCTCACCACCTTCGTGTGGGATAGCAGAAGAAGGTCTCTGTCATACTCCTCTTTCACCTCGCTCTGCGCTGCTGGCGCATCGGTGAGGCCCTCTGGTGGTTGTGTCGTCACTTACAGATACTACAGCTCGTCCGTCCTGACACTTTTTTCGTCCTCGAAAACACGGATCAGCAGACACTGGAACATCAAGACAGCACCTGAAAATAAATTTAAAAAAAAAAAAAAGAAAGAAAAGGAAAAAAAAAAAAAAAAAAAGAAAGATGTGCGGAAGAACCACACATAGTCCTATATAGTAGAAGTCCACGGCTTCATGAGATCAGCTGCTGTAGTGGTACAATCCAGGACCTTCATGGTGTCCCACTTTTTCCACCTGGTAACGGTCTTTGCCTTTCCTCGCTGTCACACGATATGGACCGAAGAACTTTGGTCTTAACTTTAGACCACCTCCATACTGCGTTCTTTGTATGGCAACTAAGTCGTTCACATTGTATACTTGCGCCTCTTTTCTCTTCTTGTTGTATGTTTTTCTATTCTCTTCCTGAATTTTTAGAATGTTTTTCCTTGCTTCCTCTCTCATATCTTCTCGATCTTTCATCATAATATTATTTCTTTCTTCTTCTTCAAGAATTTCCATAATCTTTAAGTCCTCTCGATTTCTCATTTTAACACCAGTGAGAAGCTCAAATGGAGAACTCTTTGTGCTTCTGCTCTTAGTGCTGTTCAAGATCCTTTGTACATCTCCAACATACTTGTACCACTTGGTTGGATCATCTATGGATAATTTGGATAGGACTGGAATCAGAGTGAGATGAATCCTTTCCACTTGTCCATTTCCTCTAGGAACGCCAGTAGTTGTGAATATGTGCTGGATCTTCTCTTGACTACAGTAATCTTCAAAGTCTTTAGAGGTAAATGAAACTACTGAAAGTTGACCTTTATCACTTATAATTCTCAAAGGACTACCGAAAGTTGATTGTTGCAGTTTCAGCTTCTGCAATGCCTCTTGAGCTGATGTAGACTTTACTGGATAGAGCCATATGAACTTTGTGAATGCATCAACCACGGTTACGATGTGATTGTAGTTCTTATTTGTCGACGGTAATGGTACTATAAAATCGATATGAAAAGTGCTCAAAGGGATACTATCTTTTGGTATGGGATACAGCAATCCTTCGCTCTTACCTCGTTTTCTGTCGCACAAAATACATTCTACACAATTTGAAATAACTTGCTTCAATTCGTTTTCTAAGGTTAGGAATATAAAAGTCGTTTTTTAGCAGATCTTCTGTTTTAGACACTGCGAAATGTCCCTTGTTGTGGATACTACGTATGATTTCTAGCTCTAATGCTTCGGGTACCACAAGTAACTCACGACCACTGTCGAAACTTGTATAATACTCCATTTTTCACTAGAAAATCTTTCTTTAGTCCTTGCTCGACTAAGGATTTTAGCAACTGGAGACGCTCATCACTTCTTTGCGCAGCTGCAATTTTGGCTGTAACTTCTCCCTGAGAACAAGTAACCATCATAACAGCGTTTCTACTTAATGAATCCACATGCTTCATTTGTTGCCCAGATCTGTGAACAATTTCATAGTCAAATTCTTCTAGAAGTAACGCCCATCTCGCCACTTTAGGGGTTAGATCTTTCTTAAACATGGTCTTCTGGAAAGCATCGCAATCCGTAACTATCCTGACCTTAGATCCTAAAAGGTAATTCCTGAATTTCTTTAGAGCTTCTACTATAGCTAAAACTTCAAGCTCATAACTAGATAGCTTCTCTTGTTGGAGACTAGTTTTTTTTACTCATGAAGTAAATGGGGTATAACTGCCCATCATCTGACTTTTGTAGCAATACAGCGCCGAAACCATGACTGCTTGCGTCTGTGCTCCTTGTTTAAAAATATGAAGAACCGGACTTGTGGATAAAAGTTCTTTCAATTTATTAAATGCATCTTTTTGCTCAGGCCCAAATTTGAATTCTGCTCCGTTACGAAGAAGATCACTTAGTGGTTTCGCTATTTTTGAATAATTGGCAATAAATTTCCTAAAATACCCAGTAAGGCCCAAGAAACTTTGAATCTGCTTAAGGTTTTTGGGTTCCGGGAAATTTTGAACAGCCCTGGTTTTTTCAGTAGAGGGGCGAATTGTACCATCCTCAATAACATACCCGAGAAATTCTATTTTTCTTTTCAAAAATTGGCATTTCTTAAAATTAATCTCCAAACCATATTCTTTGGCTACTTCTAAAACGCGTTTCAACTTTTCTAAACCTTCTTTCTCGTTTCGTGCTGGAATAATAAAATCGTCCATGTAAGTAACAACAGTGTCATCCCGAATTAAATCTCTAAACACATTATAAATAAATCTTTGAAACACACTAGGGGACGTGCACAAACCAAAAGGTGCTTTTAGAAATTCGTACAAGCCTGCATGAGTAATAAATGCCAAATATTTAGTGCAGTTTTTCTCAATTGGAACATGAAAAAACCCATTTTTTAAGTCTAATGTCGAAAAAACCTTTGCTTCACCCAAACGATCTAAAACCTCTTCTACTTGTGCCATAGGAAAAGAATCCTTAACTATTTTTTTATTTAACTGCCTGAAGTCAACACAAATCCGTGTCTTCCCGATTTTTTTCTACACAAAAACAATTGGCGAAGCATATTCTGAACACGACGGCTTTATAATCCCATCCTTTAACCATTCATCTATTTGATTATCAACAATTTTTTGATCAGCAAAAGGAATTCTCCTCGAACGCTGAGAAACTGGAATATTCATCTTTTAATATTACTTTCATTTTTAAGTCTGTACTGCGCGGCTTTTCTAACGGTTTATACTCATTAATAAGAGTGGAAACAGTATTGCGTAATCCTTCATCTTTAATATGCCATAAATCTGTTTCGCTGTCTGCCTCAATGGCTGCAGAAATAAAAGACAAAAAATTCCTTTCCGAAGAGACGGAATCATTTTCATATTGCGTAATCATCACCTGGTCACAACAGATCATTTTTAGACAGGAAGGGGGGAAAATACAGTCTGTTATCAAATCAAAAACCATCGCTGCTTCTATCTCTTTTTGTTTTTTGCTTTCGCATAAAGAAAAAATAAACTTAGCCGTTTCCGCTTTAACCACGTGACCAAACGAACTTTTGAGTTCTATACATCCAGTTGATAATTTATTCGGAAAAAGGGATTTCTTTACAACTATCAATTCACTTCCAGAATCTATTAAACATTTTACTTTCTTACCATCAATCAACAGTTCAATAAATTCTAACTTATTTCTAGCTGCATTATCCGATCCAATCTCTAACCCAGATACCTTTTTTGGAAACAAATTTTCCTCCTTTTCTAACCGTTTGGGACAATTTCTCGCAAAGTGAAATAATTCCCCTTTACTCCCACATACATAGCAAATACGTTCTGGTTTACTACTGTCCCTGATTTACAAACTTCCCTGAATCCTTGAAATTGCTCTGAGCTTTTCTAAGATTGTTTTTGGAAAAATTAAGCTTTTTATTTTCTGGAGTTTCGATTCGTGTGTTACTGGTATCAACTAAAGATTTACCCCTGGATGAATAAAATAAATCACATTCTCTCCCCAACTGATTAGTGGGAACCAACTTTGACCCTCCCGAACACTAATATGTTCCTTTGTTTTAGAATCCAGAGTTTCATACAACTTATCAGATACAATGAGATCACACAATTTCTTAAAGTCATCTACCTCTCTTAACTTGCAATAATAATTGAAAGTTGCACTGAGTCGAGACGCGAACTGAACATGTGATTCAGATGAATGTCTCTGTGCATTTTTAAAATTGTTCAAACATTCACGCGGTGTTGGCTGAAATTCTTTCAAGATTAGAGTTTTTAATTTATCATAATCCGCGATTTCATGTTCAGAAACATACGTTAGAACATTATTACATTTATCACCTAATATACGAGGGCTATCCAGAAAGTAGATTACGTTTTGGAATAAAAAAATAAACAAAGTATAGGAAACAAATTTTATTATATACAGATGAAAGCCACACTCAAATACTACTTTTCTACATAGTCACCATACAAATTAAGGCATTTATCGTAGCGATGTACGAGCTTGGAAATTCCTTCGTCGAAAAATTCGGCCGCCTGCGCCTTCAACCACTTCATTACCTCTTCTTGCAGCTGTGCGTCGTCATCAAAACGCTGCATAGCCAGCCACTTCTTCATTGCTGGGAATAGGTGGAAGTCGCTCGGTGCCAGGTCGGGACTGTACGGCGGATGAGGAAACAACTCCCACTTAAAAGATTCAAGAACTTTACGAGTGACATTTGCCATGTGGGGCCGGGCGTTGTCGTGAATCAACAAGATCTTAGAGCTCAACATTCCTCTGCGCTTGTTTTGAATTGCTCTTCTGAGTTTTTGGAGAGTTTGGCAATACCTTTGAGAGTTTATTGTAGTGCCTCTTTCCAGGAAGTCCACCAAAATTACACCTTTTCTGTCCCAAAAAAACAGTCGCCATCATCTTCCTTGCCGACATTGTTTGCATGCATTTCTTGGGTTTTTGGGGAGAACTTGTGTGCCCCCACTGCATTGATTGCAATTTCGTTTCACAGTTCACATGTTTCACCCATGTTTCGTCACCAGTAACGATGCGATCGAGTAAAGAGTCACCATCCTTATGGTAAGCGTCCAAAAAGTTCAACGCTGCAGCCATTCGCTGATTTTTGTGGTCCTCTGTCAAGATTTTTGGAATCCATCTTGCACAAAACTTGTGGTAACCAAGCTTTTCGCTGATGATGATTTCGTGCAACAAACTTCGCGAAATTTGTGGAAAACTCAAAGAAAGTTCCGTTATTGTGAAATTTCGATTTTCACGGACTTTAGCATCGACTTTTTCGAGAAGTTCGGCGGTCACTATGCTGGGTCTCCCACTTCGATCTTCGTCGTGAACATTGGTTCGGCCATTTTGAAATCTTATGACCCACTGACGCACTCCACCTTCAGTGATAATGTTGTCCCCATACACTTCACGAAGCTGCCGATAGATTTCTATCGGTTTACAGTTTTTTGCAGTCAGAAACCTTATTACTGAGCGCACCTCGCAGCTCGCGGGATTTTCAATTAACGCAGACATTTCAAACCGTCACAGTATCTGAACGGAGCACAGCACGAACCTCTCACTAGCACGGCTAGATGCAGACTGAGCTGCGCAACGCTCTGACCCCAAGATGGCCGCGCTAGCCCCGCCCCTAGCGGACACAGACGGAAACGTAATCTACTTCCTGGATGGCCCTCATATTAATCAACTCTTCTGTTTTTTAACTCCACTGGTACACTTTTAGTAGTAAAAGCTTTCTCAAGTGACTGAAAAAACAAATGCATAGCTTTTGGTTTCTGAGGTACAGCTATAGTTAGTGTTTTGATGCTTTTTAATAACATCTTCAACACTAGTCTGCGCGTTTCTTCTATCACCCGATAATGATTGTGATTTTAAACTTTCTAATTCAATCTGCTTCTCAATTTGAGCTAATTTAAGATGTTCGATCTCTAACAGATAGTGTTCATTACTTGTTTTAGGCGTCCGATCCTCTGCGATCGACTTGACGACGCCACGAACAAATTCAACGTTCGTTTTGAAAACATCAGAATTTTCGATAATTTTTCTAATGTCAGCTTTTTTAGCATTTTCTGGAACAGTCTGTCCAATTTGTTCCGCAATTACTATTAAATCACTTTTCTTTAAATTTTTTAGGAAACTCATTTTAAAAACGAAACAAAAGTATCACTTATCTTCAAAAAGTTTTCACAGTACCTTCTCTGAAGTATGCAAGTATGAAGTATCCAAATATCCCGTTCAGAGCCCTCAGATTTGAGCGTGAATTTCATTTAGATCGTGGGCGCAATAAACACCCAACAGTATTATACCAAGTATCACGTTTTAGGTAATGGCATAGCTAGCAGCATGACAAAACAGAGGGAGTGAAGTAGCATCTTGATAGCAAGAGAGCTGAAGCTAAATTGTGCAGTTAATCCAATATGGAGGCTTACCAAAAGAAGGTTTTGGTTTAGGTTAAAAAGTCTTCAGTTCTTGAAATTTTAAGTTCTCAATTAGCAACATTTTCAGCATTATAGAAGCCATGCAACATGGATTGATCTAGAAATGACACATTCCAGAAAACTTATTACAATTTTTAAAATACAGAGGGGGGAGGAATTACAGGGTTACCACTAGTTAAAATTATAATTTTGATTTACATATTTTTAATTTTACACTCACACATATATGCATATATATATATATATGTGTGTGTGTGTGTGTGTAGTGGGGGAGTTGAAGATGCTAAATAACAATTCCAACGTTGTTTTCCACACCACAGAACATTTAATAAAGATAATCAGAAAAGGTACAAATTAGATTAAATACAAGTGCCGTTTGATACAAACAGGATTCTGTATAGTTTTACCAGTCTTATCACATAACCGATTAGTGCCTACTCGCACTTGCTGATGTATTAAACAGTCAATTTACCACCTTCGCGTGGAGAACTACAGTTCCTTATTCTGCACCTTCACGTGCAGACAGACGTCTCACCACCTTCGCGTGGGATAGCAGAAGAAGGTCTCTGTCATACTCCTCTTTCACCTCGCTGCTGGCGCATCGGTGAGGCCCTCTGGTGGTTGTGTCGCACTTACAAATACTACATATATATATCTTCAGTAAAGACACATTGCTGTTAATTTCCCTCATAGTAGTATATCTCATTTCATATGCACTTTTTCCATTGTTCCTATTGCTTGTTGAAGAAATGTTAGATGTCTATTTTCAAAGTTGTCTTTAATTCCACTATCATGGCTTAAATGTTTATTTTTCATGGGTTGTAATTGTCATGTTTTTAAATGGCATTGCTGCATCACCATTAACTAGTTATAATATTTTATGTGTTTCTAGAGTACTTTTCTGCAGTTTGATATGAAATTTCGTCTTTAGGTATTGTTTTGTGATCCATGCTTTATGATTCACTTTAAAAATTTTTTCAAAACCATAACTCGGCCCACCAGCGGCCGAGCGGTAAAGTCACTGAACACTGGTAGTTCAGTCCGAGGTTTGAATCTCATGAACGGGCTAGTTGCATGGGTGTTTTTGTGATTTTCCCCATGTGTAACGTGTATACGAGCCAGTTTCCCTTAGAAAGTCCTCCACAAAGGCATTCCTCACCTTAGGCAGATAATGCTCGAGGCTTTCCCATAATCATACATGCATACACACACAAAACCATAACTTGCCACTGACTGCACTAAGAAAGTTTAAGAATTTTGTGTACTATTACGTTTAATGCATTGTTTCCCATGTTGAAGACCTTAGCTTTCCACTAGATGGCATTTTATAGCAACAATTTTTTTATTAAATTTCATGCTGTCACTTTTATTATTTATGTATATTGTTTATGTATTCACTGGTTAGGCCACGTAATCTGTAATTATCTGTGATGCAGATAATGACCTAATCATGGCATTTTTTTTGCAACTTCTGATTATTAAAATTTGTTGAAATAATTTTTGAATTTTTTTTTTTTAAACTGAACTATTCAATAATTTCAGTGAAGTTTTTAATTGCATATAATTAATAATAATTTTGAAATAGCATGTTTAAAAAAGGAATATTGCAATTTAAATTGTTCTACAAATCCTATTTACTTTATTCCACAATACAGTAAAATTACCATTTGAAGCTATTAACCAAAGATAAAATTTGATGCTAAAAAAGTTTTTTTTTTTTTTTCTTACAGGTATATTACTCTTCATAGAATTTATTCTTTTTTTAACTATAATTCTTCATAGAATTTCTTCTTCTTTTAACTATAATTTTATATATTTGCTTTTAAATTGTAGGATATACAGCATAATAATATATATTTTGAAGACATTTATTCATCTTTGGAGCAAAGTTTGACGAGTGTTAGTGAACCGGTAAGTAATATTTCAGTACTTTATTATGATTAAATATTTGCTAATTTTTTATGTTTTAAAAATATTACATATTTATCTGAAATTATAATTCACAAACTTGTGAGATATTTGATGTAAAAAACTATGTAGAAAACTTTATTTTGATGATTTATATTTATATGAATTGTTCCTATAGATAGAAAGAAATGATTCACTTTTAGCTTTTTTCCTTTTTTTTTTTCTTTTAGTTTTACATACCAGGCAGCAATTATTATTTTAGACCTCAGATTTACATTACTGTCATTGCTCACATTCCAAACTGCCCTATTGTTGCTCCTCAGGTAATTATAAAAATCTATTGTTAATAGTATAAATAATAATAATTACTAACATAAAATGTTTGTACTTGTGTACTGACCCATCATCTGTGAAACTGCCACCAAGCAATGCAGTTTAGCACTATAAGGAACATGACATTGCGACACATTCATAACATCTGCTCTTTCATTTGATGTAACCCCAAATGATTCTTGAAAAGTCACCTTTTGTTTTTATGAACAGGGATATAAATTAACTGTTCTTACTGTATTTTTTCCTTTTATTTTGGAGAAAGTTTGAGGGCTGACAGCATTTGTGACTGCACTCCAACTCATTTACAACTGGCCACGAAAATTAAAATTTCTTGAATACGAAAAAAGAGCACCTGAATATGGCTGGCATAACAGTAATGGATTAGAATAATCACCTAGAGGAAGTATAACTCATTCTAAAGAGAGCTAAACTAGCGTTCTAAACGGAGCTTATCGTAAAATCATAGAGCCCAACAAAATAGTAGAAATTGAGGAAAGCATTTTTATGAAGTGAGCCATGCAAGTACTTCTGTAACAGTGGCTGAGAATTTGCTGATTTGTGCTGAGATATTGACAGGTGGTTATTTTTTGATATCCCAACCCTTCTGCAAAGTCACCAAATGTTGGCGACTAATTTTTCACCAACCTAACAGGTGGAAAACAGTAGTCATTTTAAAAGATGATAGTGTATTGAAAATTACATAAAAGAACAACTAAATGAAATTAAAAATACAAGAAACATCCATAATGAAGTGTTGAAAATTACATGAAGCAAACATAGGTAATGAAACAGTAAACATTACCTAAAACAGCAACAAATTAACTAAATTAAAAACACTACAAACACTCCTAATAAAGGACTTTTTCCCCCTGGTCTTCTTCCCGAGTGCACAGTGATCTGGTTTAACTTAAAATAAAATCAAGAGAATTGCAGAATTATTGACATCACAGAGACTTGGCGCTGCTCTCCATGTACGTATTGACCTGTTTTTAGTAAAAAAAAAAAAAATTGAGAACTGCAAAAATTCAGAAAAAAGTATCACCAAAAAACACAAACAAACATGACACTTGAACTTCAAAACTGCATACATTATGAGCTGGCATATTGCACATGCAGGCATTAATGGGCTGCCAAATAAATACATTTTCTTAAAATTCTGTATTACCTTCTATAGCAACATAGTGCTTTGTCCAATGATTCTTGTCAAGGTTGGGTGGATAATAAGAGAATAGCAAAAAATTCTTTCATTGTAAGAGATTCAGATGAAAGCGAGACTCAGAATTAAGCAGGAATGATTGGTGCAACTTTGGGCGGGATCTCCACAAACTTTCATGGTTAGATGGTGGCCAGTTTTCATGGTCAACAGATAATATGCAAGTACTAAAATGTGTAACTGGTAATTATTATTTTTTTATGTTAGAATTTATGTACTTATTTGACATAACAAAATTTAAATTTTTTGTCACCACAATTCTCTTAATTAACTATATTTAATTTAAACATAAGCATACCTTTTAAATGTAGAATTCAGTCTCAGGTTGGTATTTATTCTAGAGGATAAAATTTCTTGGTGATCTGATACTTTTGAAAAAATATGTTTTCTTCTAAAAGCGAAATTATTCTACTTTATTTTGCCAAAATCTCTTTTCCTAAATACACTGGTGTGCAAAACGTAAGCAACAGGTGTTCTTTTTTGCATAACTCCACGAGAAATCATCTGAGAGACATGAAATTCAGAATTACGAGACAGCATTTTGTATTTAAACGATGACAAAAGCATAATTGCGCTAAAAATGAATACAGTGCTTACAGTATGAAATCAAACAAAAATAGGCTTTATTGAACTCATAGTATCGTTATACATGATTGTCTGTACAAGAGGAAGAACAACAAGCAGATGTTTCTTACTATGAGATATGCCCTCCCCTTACTGCAATGGTTGCTTCGAACGCTCTCTCCATATTCAGTATCATATTGTCCAACATATCTTGAGGTAAGACGGCCCGTTCCTCAATCAGTATCTGTTTCAGTTGCTGGGTGTTCCCTGGATGATGTAATCGTGCCACAAGGCATCTCCCCAAAGCATCCAACACATGTTCTATGGGATTTAAGTTGAGAGCACTCTGGCCAATCCATTCAAGTGATATCTTCACTTTTCAGTAGCTTCTGAACAGCAGGAGTCTGGTGTGGCCGTGCATTGTTATCCATAAAAACGAAGTCTCTTCCAATGACACCTCGGAACAGACGCACATGGGGAAGGATCACTTCCTGACAATAGCGATCTCCGGTTACAGAACTTCTGTCGAAAACGTGGAGCTCTGTCCGCCTGTTCAGCATCATGCCTCTCCAGACGAGATCTTCAGTACACCGTAACGGCCTCTTTCTGTGATGGTACTGAGATTAAACCATATTCCTACCTTTCTCCAAATCAATGTGTGTTGAGAATAGCTTGTGGCACTAAAACTACTCTCATCCGTAAGGAGGATACGACTCCATTGATGAGATGCCCAGTTTCTGCTCTTCTTGCACCACTGTAAACGGTGACGCTGATGGCCAACTTTCAAAGGGATGCAGCGTTCAGGACGGCAGCCGAATAAGCCACCTTTTTGAAGGTGTCTTCCGCGACACTTGTCGCCCCGTTGCTGTACACAGTTGTTGAACTATGGAGTTTGGTGACTGGTTTCGGGCTCTTTTCGCCTGCAGGACAATATATCGATCATCCACTGCAGTTTTTTCCTTGGGCAGCCACCACCAACCTTTCTAAAAGCCATACCTATGGTTTGTAAGGCTTTCCAAGCGTGCGAAAAGACACTTTTGTTGATTCCTAACTCTTCAGCTATACTGGTCACACTTTGCCCCTACTCCAGATTTTCGATCATTCTTTCACATGTGAAGTCATCCAGATCATTTCTTCTAGCCATATTTCACGAAAGATTTCCTTGTACTTGCAGCGAATGTCTTTAATTACGTCTCCATCTTTCCTTTTATGGCAGTCTCGAGTTGAGCGTGCCGACCATACTCGTTTTACATACGCTCACGTAGCCTGTGACGTTTTTTTCTTGACATTCGCATACGCATGACCTTTCTATTGAATTGCGTGTTCATTGTACTGAACGCAAGAACCCCTTTTCTACATTTAATGGCTATCTGATTAAAATTTACATTGTTGTTTAAGTGTAGTAAACAATATGAAATAATTTGGATGTTGGTGGTGTGTAGATGCATGAAGTAATAGTTGCATTAAAGATATTAGCAGTCGTGCTAATTTTGATTCTTCTTTATACTGAAAAACACTTTTTTTTAAAGCCAACACATATGAATTGTTGTAATAAGTGCCTCTTTTTGTATAATTGCAGCAAATTAGCAGTAGCAAAACAAGAGAAGGAATACAATGTGTCTAAGATGAAAGCTTGGTTTAGAATGATTTAGTTTTCATTTACATTTAATCCATATTCATTAATAACTTTGTCAAATTATTATTGGCTGAAGTCTTATATATATATATGCATTATTAACATTGTGCAGAAATAATATGACATGAATTAATTTTGAAATGACCCACCTCGGAGATTTGTTATAAGCAATAATTATTTTTGGGACAGAAAGAGGAAATACTGGAATTAAAAAAGGGAGATAAGAGATCATTTCAAATCTTCTTATTTTAAATTATATATTTTTTATCATTCATTTTGTGTCATTTAGTTTATTGTGTTGTAATACCTTGGCAATAATTGGTATTGATTCAACACATTTTATTTCTGGTTAAAGCAGTTCTGAAGATGCTGTATCTGATTCATATCATTATGGGTGCAATATGCACCTCACAGTTTTGTTTTGTAAGTTTAGCATCATATGACGATGAAGAGAGATACATACAGAGAAGAGAGCTGCAATGTATTACTCTGATGAATGCAAGTGGGAAAGTGTGCAGTTATCCAGTATGGGGTTTAGTATAACAGAACAAAACTTTTGGAAGTTTTAAGTTTCATTTCTAAAGTAGCTACCTTACCATCATTATGAAAAGGAGAAATATCCAAACTGAAATGAAGAATAAAAAAGGCTATTGCCAATTAAAATTAGAAGTTTGCTTGTGTGTATAGTTATTTGTATTAGGTTGGCAACTAATTTCCCGCCATTTTTAATAATGTTTGTTAAAAGTTTATTTTTCAATAAACATATACAAGTAGTTAATTAAGAATGTATTCTCCTTTATTGTTTACAATCTTTTCCCAACCTTTAACAAGTTTTTCAATAACTTATTGGTAGAAATCACCTATTTGAGACTCGAAAAAGTCATCCAACCAAGCTCTAATTTCTGCATCAGTATTGTAAGAAACTCCCCGCATAGCATTTGAAAGAGTTCGAAAGAGGTGAAGTATTCCAATATCACCAATGCCACCAATCCAATACCACCAGTGTAGATTGCAGCTCGTTGATTTTTGTTGGTGACACTTAAAGTGTGAGGCACCCATGCTCCACATTTCTGAACTTTGGCCATTGAGTAAAGATGCTTATCTACAGTAGTATGGGAGCAATCCATTGTCTCTGCCAGTTCCCTTGTTGTTTGACGCGGATTTTCGGGCAAAAGGTGGTTTAATCGCTTTTAATCGAACTCAGCTGGACAGCCAGAACAAGGTGCATCTTTGAGGTTCAAAATTTCTTTTTTGAACTTTGCATACCAATCACGGGTGGTTCTTTCAGCTATAGCACACACTCCATACACAGCACAAATGTTGCAAGCAGCTTCTGAGGCCTTAGAACCTTTATTAAAGGCAAAAAGAAGGTGTCAAAAATGCTCATTCTTCTCAACTTGACATTCCATGTTAATGATATGTAAATAACAAGAAAATGTATCTTAGCAATAACAAAACATATATTTAGGTAGAACAATATATTCTTTTTTGAATGATGCATAACTTCATGCCAAAAGTATTTAATGTCACAGATTTGCCAATTTAAAAAAATGGCGAGAACTTTGTTGCCAAACTAATATATATGTATTTACTCATATAAAGCAACTTTGTCTGTTGGACAAGATGCAAAGGAAAAGATTGAAAAGTAATGAGCTAAGACTTTTAAAAGTTTTTTGCGAAGAAAATCAGACTTGCAGTTAAGATCATCAGATTGGTATTGGTAGATTTCAATGGAAGTAAAGGGCTTGTTGGAAGTATAGAATGTCATAATTCACTAACTGAAGATATATTTGAACCATTTTAATAGAACATGAAAAATGATTAAGAGACCAGCCAGCTATAATTAGCAATAGAAAATTTAAAAATTTCTTTCTTTTTTTTTTTTTTTTTTTTTTTTTTTTTTTTGGTATTTGATGCAAAATTGTAAAGTTCCCTTAGTTACAGCTGTGTGTATTAAGTCACATTAGAAGGAACATTATTAATTCTGCAAGAATTAAAATATGTAAGGTTTGTAAGGTCTAAACAAAATTTTCAGTAATTCATTTGAATTTTTCATTCTGTAAAGTAAACTAATCTATCTATTTGTCTATCTAGATTTATATTTATCTGCAATATTCTTATTATTTCTGGCTTTTATTTTTTCAATATTTGTATCTAATCTATGTGTATCTATTTTATCTATCAATATAGATTTATATTTTATCTACAAGTTATTATTATTTCTGATTTTTATTTTTCTATTTTATTCCAGTGGTTTCAATAAAATGTGAATTTAACTTAAGAATAAATGTTTAAAATTATTATTTTTATGTTTGCCTCTAAATTGTTGCAGCTTTTAACACACTATTTGTTTACCAGATTTTTAGAACTTCAGATTTCAATTTTAGTATTATCTATATAGATAGGTGTATATTGGGAGTTGAAAATTTATGTGAAATCCGACCAATGTTATAACTAATAGAAGAGAAAAACAAAGACAACAAATTCATTGTAATTTCTTTTTAGTTGACTAAAGATGTTTGTAATGCAAAGAAAAAAAAAATTTCAATCTTTTAACAATATGAAAAGAATGTAGTGTAATTTATATGCATAACACATCTTGAATATATGACATGGATTAATTTTGCACTGTATGATAGAGCAGTAATGGAAGAGAAATGCATGCTTTCTCAGAAAAGTTCCAGGACATTTTTTTTTTTTTTTTATTTCTCTGAGTTTGCAGTACTAAAAAGGAACAAATGTTGTTTTTATGTTACCTGGTATGTATTCTTACTTGACATGACCTTGGCCATGTTTCCACACAAACTTACTAGGTGGCAGGCCTGTGCTTAGCAACACACTATTCGGATTGTTGTTGCATTCGTTAAGGTGACACAATGGAAGCTGATTATAAGCAAAGAGTGAACATTAAATTCTGCGTTAAGCTCGGGAAAACCCCTAGTGAAACATGGCACATAATTAAGGAAGCATATGCAAGTGAGGCACTTTCAAGAAGTCATGCTTTTGAGTGGCACAAAAAGTTTAATAAAGGCAGAGATTCAGTGTAAGACGATCTCAGTACTGATACCGATGCGTGGAGCATGTAAGGCAGTTATTGCAAGAAAACAATAATGCAACTGTGTGTATGATATCAGAAGAACTGAATTTAAATCATAATGTGTGTCATAAGATTTTATGCAGAGATTTAGGGAAATGAAAACTTAATTCAAAAATCGTCCCTTACTCATTCACAGATGAGCAGAAAAAGGAACAAGGAATAATTTCTGCTGAACTGTTGAATAAAGCCAGATGTGATCCCACATTTGTGTCAAAAATTATTGTGATTTTTTTCTTGTTTCCATGAGTGAAAAGGTTACTGAAAGGAAAGCTTCATCAAGATTGTTGCAGACATCTAACGAGCTGTGACAAATAAGCTTGCAAGCATCGCAGTTGAAGATTTCCCTGCTTGTTTCTGAGACTCCCAGAAAAGTTGGCAGTTGTGTATAGATAGCTAAAGGAAATACTTGGATAGCCTCTAGTATCATTATTTGGTAAATACGATTTTCTATTTTTTATGACCTGACAAAAGATGTTCTTTGATAAGGAAAGGTTTAAAAAGAATTGAAGATTAAGAGGCAGTTATAAAAAAAAATCATATATTAAGGGTGAGAGAAGCATTAAAGTAAAAACAGTCTTATTTTTTATTTAAAAGAATTACAAACAATATTTGACATTGAGAGTAAGGTAAACAGGGAAAAAATATAATTTGCACTATTTGATAATTTGCACTATTATGCTGTCTATAATAAAGCATTTTGGTGGGTACTAAAAAAAATTTGCAGTGGTAGTGTGTGGTTCCTATAAGTAGCCATTTTTATTACTTGTGTAAAGATCTCATTAGTCCATAAATTTTTAAACTTCTGTAAAGAATTCCCCATTTGCTTCCTGAATTCTTCTTCCATGTCATTTACCATATGATCATATGAGAGACTCATACGACAAAAAAGTCAGAACTGTAAGGATTATGCTGAAGGGCTTTTTGGTGAGTATATTACAATGATTTACAGCATGAATTAAACATGATTGTGCAACGATGGAATAACAAATGGTTTTAAGTTTTAGCAGTTTACTGCATTGTTACTTTTAAAAACCATAGAAGTTGTATGTTCAGAAAAGTTAAATCTTCTATATAATAATTTCATAATCTATTATAGCTTTTCTATTACTGTTTAATCATGTTGCTTTCCAAATATAATTCTTATCAAATTATTATGTTATATTACACTGTAGTATTTTGCATTAATTGTATATATTTAAATATAAGTTAATTGTTTTCTATATTTTTAGTTTTTCTTTTAATAAGGATACAATTTGAATTTTTATGCTATTTGTATGTCAGAAAATGGATAGTTATTATTATTATTATTATATATTTTTTTTTTTTTTTTTGTTTCATAGTAATTTGAGTGAAGCATGAAATCGTCATGTTTTTTTTTTGGGGGGGGTCAGAAGTTGCTTATGTTTATTCAAAATTTATCCCCCAGTAATCTCTTGAAAGCAGATTAAATTTTAATTTGTATTTGCAATTCCAACCTCACTGTTTATGGCAGTCTTTTTGTATTCTTTTAAGTAGGAAGCAGTAAGCGTGTTAGCTTAACTTCATTATCAAAGAACAATGCAAGAATATTGTTATGAAATAGTAATTGTCTTTTAATGAATGATGTCAGATGGGACACTTATTTAGTCATAGCAAGAAACTAATATGCACAAATTTCTGTGCATGCTGATTATTGTTGAAATAATGTAGCCTTTTTTTAGTTATTTAAACATTAATATTTATTTTTTAGGTGCTAATACAAGGTTGGATTCTTACTCCTGACAACAGAAATGAATTACTGGAGCTAATTCAGAATAAACTGAAAAATATGTGTAAGATAGTAGAAAAAGTCTCTTCAACAGTTCAAGAAGAACAAATTCAATTTATGGTAATATTTTGTTATATGTCGCTTTTTTTAAAGTTTAAATGCTCTAGTTATATGAAAATTCTCATTTGAAGAATTTTTATTAGCGTTTTTGCTTGTGTGTATTGTGATTATGAGATTTAACAATATTTGATATCATATTTTTGTAATCTTTGATCTCGGTCTTATGATTCTGTTTTTCATTATATACGTTATGTATATTTTGCTCTATGTATGAAGCAAGTTCTTTATTTCAGTTTAATTAAAAAGGGAGGGGGTACTGTTAATAATATTTAGCAATCTTTGTGTTGCATTCACATTACAAAAATGTTCATTATGTATATTGGTAGGTTTAACTATTGGGAACCTTTTAAATGTAGTGTTCTGATAATTTATGACAATTTTTATAGGAGGGGACACTTTTGTGTAAGGTTTTGCTGCAACTGACATTTTTGGCTGGTATAAATAATTGTGTGTTAATTGTCATTAGTTCTGTATTATACAGTCAAAAGTTGTTAATTCGGATTCGTCGGGACTTCAACGATTCTGGATTATCGATTTTTCCGGATTATAGATCATCAGTTTAAATCTGGTAAGATGGCATGGAGAAATTATAAAATTAAAAATATGAAACCGTAATTTATGAAATAAAGAACAATTATGATCTAAAGGGTATTAAAATTTACAAAAAAAGCTTAATATTTATTTGTTTAATTTATTAAACATTTCTTTCAATGTAAGTTGTTTAAGTTGCTTTGTTTTTTATGTGATAATACTTTCTCTTTAATTCTATAAACAGACATTATTTCTTGTTCAGTTACAAAGTTCCGCTGTTCAAGTCCTATAATTGCTGTGTTGAGAATACCGACTAATTTGTCAATCGAAATTTTTTCGTTTTCAATAACCTCTGTGTCACTTTCTTCACTATCGGAAGCGAATTATAATGACGAGGAATTTGATTTAAATCATATCAAAGACGGAGTACATCGAAATGAACTACTACATTTAGTAAGGAATTAGAAGCCAAATAAAATAAAAACATCTGCCCTGAAGATAAAGATAGTGCTGACAGATCAACTTCCAATTCATTGCGCGCCGTGGCGTCCCCCCCCCCAGCCGCAGAGCAGCGTCAAATTGATAAACAGATTTCGGAATGGCTAGAGAAACGAAAGATATGCCTTTATCCATTTTTTGCAGCAATTCCACTTTTTGTTTAATGGACTTCGAAACATACTTTCGCTTTGTAGATCCTTTACATATTAGTAAATATATATCGGAAATTCTATTTGACATAATCGAAAGTTCAAGCTTACTTTTATAAAATTGCGCTAACAGTCTGCAAAAAATAATAAGCCGGATCCAATTCAAAGATTAAGGAACAATGCAATCTGCAACATTAACTGAATTAGATAATTTTAACTTAGCTTATACCGTCCATTATACATTAAATGCGTAAACGTATAATGCGCATGCGCACATGCATATTGGCAGCCGTAAATGTCTTCACATGCGCAGAAAGTTTGTAGCTTTGAGGTCTGGATTATAGATCATTCCGGATTATGGGTGTCCGAATTTACGACTTTTGACTGTATCTGATTTTTAGCACCAGAGGAGCTCAATTTTTTGTCCTCACCACTTTTCAAATAAAAGGATGTTGCCTGCAAAAGCTATCTCCATCTATTACATGTAAAGAAGTAATATAGCAAATGCATATAAAAAAGTATAGCAACCCTTAACAGTTTGTTGGGGATTCTAAAGATATGCTGTTTTTAAATATTCTGTGATTTTCTGTGGGTAAGTGCAAAGAAAATTATGTTTAATATATAAGTTAAAAAGGCAAAAATTTAACAATTAAAAAATTGTTATGTAAGTCTGTTACTAAGAAAACTGAACATTGATATGATGAATTGAAAAAGAATGAAAAAATTAATGGCAACACTTAACACTATATCAAGAGGTCTGTCTATACATATGCTGCTTTTAAAAATTCTGTGATTTTGTGGCAGAATTTTATGTGATGTAAGTGGGAAGGAAAGTGAAGTTTAGTAATACAGTTAAAAAGATAAAAGAAGTTGTGAAGTAATCTTGTAAAGGAAAACTGAGCATGATAAACTGAAAAAAAGATTGGAGTGAGACAGAAATATATATGACATCATTTAACACTATATCAGAAAATAGATGCTTTAAAATTTTTTTTGATTTTACTGTTGAATTTTATGCACTGAAGTGGAAAGAAAGTGGTTTTAATAATGGAAAAAAAAAAAAAAATAGTTGACCGACCATGACTGAGTCCAAGAGCTGATTGGTGAACAGTGAGCTTAGCAACATAATAAATAAAGAATAAAATACCTTTACAAATCCTTTGGTGCAACATTAAGATCTGAATCCTTTCTACGGATTGAAATGCAATGAAATTTGCAGGAATTTTTTTCCCATCATTTGGAAGATGGGGTAAAAACCATTTCATATTTCTCCGGGGATTTTTGTAAACACCAAAAGCATAGATTTTGTATATCACATAATTCTTCAGGTACTAGAAATATTTAACAGGGCTTTCACTCAGAAAGTCCTAAGAAAAAGTGTTAAAAAAAGTTAGGGAAAACGTAGAACTTTTTCTAAAAAATCAGAAATTTAAAAAAAGAAAAAAGTGCAGAGCAGGCCTTTCAAATCAAATGTTTATGCTTCAAGTAATCACTTATGAACAAAAAATGCACTTCTTAAAAAGAAAGCAAATAAATAAAAAGATTTACAGTCTTTTTCTTGCACAAAGTATTTTACTCAGTTCTTATCTGAAACAGTTTTATAACCCTATAGCTCTCCTCTCTGCCTACTACAGTCGTAATTTTAGGTGTTTCTCCCCAAACTATGACTCTTAACCATGACGATGACTGCTATGGAAAGAAGATCGAGTCCTCTAATTTGCTAATTTTTTTTTAACTCCTGTACGGTGATGTGCAACAATTGTAAATAAGGGGAAGGTTGCTACCACTTTCTAGTACCTGTTTTAAAGAAATAGACTGTAATGAGCTGTTCAATGCTTTCTTTAGAAATGTAACTTTTCTCTTACCCCCTTTTTTTAAAAGTGTAATAGAATAATGCAATTTAGATGCATTACACTGTGTACTTGTATATTATAATAAATAACTGTGTGATTTTATTGTTCCTTTTTATTTTGAAACACAGTAGAAGTAATATTTATTATGACTGATTTTATCATTATTTATAAATTTCTTTTCCAAAAGTTTTCTAGAAGGAATTTTGCTATGTTATTTGTCATATAGGCAGTTGTTATGTTATTGCCGTACTCTTGCAGATTTAATCTTCTTAACTAATGTTGGTGAGATCCCCTTATATGTTCTGTGATGAAAACCTGCATGATGGTGCACAAAATGCTATACCATTCAGTCACCCCATAGAATATTTAATATTGTATACTGAATATTAAAAATGAGTATTTAGGTGCTTTTGTTCATGGTAAATCTAGTGGATGTCAGAAGTTAGTATCAGACTCTGATTTGCTTTGAAACGGCAATTTATAAGATGGCAGATTTGCTGGAATAGCTGGTTGAACAGAAGGTTAAAATTGTAATGTTTTTTGAAGAAAAGAAGAGTTTGTGGTGACATAAAGTTGTTTTCATGCACACTTTGATAGGAGATAGGCTCCTTACAGATAGGCCATTCACAAACTGTATCATCAAATGGGAGCACTGGCTCTGTGTTGGGAATGAATTGATAATGCCTATCAAGTGTATGCACACCTGGAAACAGCAACTGGGTTTCCTTTGCACACACAATGCTTCATGTAAAATGGAGCCCATCCACTCACTGCAAATATTGTTTTTGATTTTTGTACGAGATTTCTAATGCAGTTTTAATGTCACATTGATCTTCTAAACATTGCAAAGGTGGGAGACAATGGTCACTATATAGCCTGGATAATAAGCCACCTAATTTCTTTTTATTAGACTTTTTTAGAGATAAGGTATTCTCCAGGAAATCTACAAATATAGCTAAAGGCTTTTATCATGCAGTTGTGCCATACAATTTTGGAAGACATGTATGTGCCAGAGAGTTGTGGTTAGTGTGAAGTTCACTTGCAAAAGGTTGCAAAAAAAAAAAAAATAATAATAATGAATACATTGAGCATATTCTGCATTAAATTCACTTTCCATGCTCAGTTGAGTGTGCATTCATTTTGTAATATTTTGATGATAAATAAATGTATGATAAAAACAGATGCATCCTGCTTGATATGTGTAAAGATATATGTATGTGCTTAGCACAGCTTTCAAAAAAGATCTGCGAAAGATTCTGAATTTCTCTTCATATAGGCTAAACTGGATGTAAGGATTGCACCCACAGTGCTTCTAATGACTGATGTCTATTTCTTCTCATGAATGGACTCGCATTTCATTTTTTATCTCATTCTCTTTCATCTCAATGGCATTTCGAATGAATACTCACTATTGTTGGGTGCAAGCTTACACCGAATAATATAATCCATGGATGTATCGCTTAAGTTCCCTTGAATTTTAAAGGAACAAAAACATATTATTTATGATTGTGGCACTTTCACTCTTGACACTCACAAAAAAAATTACATTTCCGTATGAAACATTATAGATACATTCAGTAACAAATTTTAGAATTCATTCATCTCTTTCATTTATATTGCACAATGCATTCATGCAAAGTTTTTCAGTATCTGAATCATGGTATAGTATCCCACAAGGCCTTATCAGAAGAACCATTTCAATATACAGATTGATTGCTGGTAAAGTTTTCGGTACTTACATATTAACACAACCAGGCCAAAATTCGCATAAATCGCCAAATTTGGCGACCCTATTTACGGCAACCCTACGTGTTATACGTAGTTTCATTTATTGTTGGTGTAAAGAGTTAACCTCAATTAAATTTTGTGCAGAAGAGATGGGAATTGCTGACAAAACTGTTATAGATTGGAATAATTACATGCAGGAGATATGTGCCCTTGAAATGGATGAAAAAGAAAGAAAGCAAATAGGCGGCGTAGGACTTGGACTGTGGAAATAGATGAAAGTTTATTTGTAAAAAGAAAAAATAACACTGGGCGTGTACTACCACAGCAATGGGTTTTCGGCGGAATTTGCCGAGAAAAGAAAGAGACTTCTTTGGTTACTGTACCTAACAGAAGCGCCGTTACCCTCATAGAAAAAATTTGTGAAAATATCAAGGAAGGAAGCATCATTTATTCGGATTGCTGGAAAGGATACAATACAAGTGAGTTCGAAAATGCTGGATTTCTGCATGGAACTGTTAATCACAAATAGAACTTTGTGGATCCCAACACGGGCGTTCACACACAGCATGTAGAGCGCATGTGGGGCTCAGCCAAATGGCGCAACAAAAAACAGAGAGGAACAGCCCATCATCATCTTGACTCATACCTTATCGAATTTATATGGCGCCAAGCTCAAGCTGTTAATGGCGAAGACAGTTTTCAATCAGTGCTAAAAGCAATAGCCAAAAGATTTACGCCGAAAAAATAATTCTGCAACTTATTCAAATTCGAAACCGGAAGGGTTTAATTGCTATTTTATATTTTAAAACAAAATAATATAAAAAACTGTATTAAAAATTATCTGTAATTAATAAATGTACATTTTCTTTCTATTCATACTTTTTTAATCAAACTTACAAATCGCGCCAACCTGGTTGCGATAATACATAAGTACCAAGTTTTCTCTTTATACCATCTAAAATGTTTTAGCATTGGGGGTGAAATTACATGATTCTTTTCTGTAACTACCCAAATATACAAAATATAAAATTTTGAAAAGAAGTATGATTTATCTTACCAATGTGCAATACTGATCACTTTGACTGCTCTGTCAATACACTGCTGCATATTTATAAAACTAATTTTGTCATAAAAATAATGTCATAATAGTAGAAGAAAGAAAATATGTTAAATAACTCGTTTACAAAAACTCTACACATTCACACTTATAAAAAATATGAAATCATGTTTTTAATTGGGGTGATATTCAGAGATCTCTTTCAAGCATGCTTGGGAAGCCTATATAAGTGAAACATTATTTCATGTTTATTAGTAAAAAAGTGTATAGTATTAATAAATCACATGTACACAAAAAAAATTTCATATTTGAAAAGATGAATTTCATCTAAAAAAAGGAAGTTTTCTTGAAAGGTAACAGATGTTTTCAGATCCTTTTCTCATTACTGAAAGGATTATCAACCCAGATAATTTTCTTGCTTTTCTAATGCCTGCAAAAAATAAAAGAAAAATTAAAGAAATAAATCTAAAAGGAAAAATTAATCACTCCAGAAAATAAGTTATTTAATATTCAAGGTATTTAATGTTCTATAGTAATATTAGTTATATAATATTCTATGAGCAAAATGTTCTGAAGACTATTCATACACTAAATGTAACAAAAATAGGTGACACAAAATTGGCCATACATAAGGAATATCAGATAAAAGTAACTTGATCCTGATCATCTTCTATTCAAACGAAGAAATAACAAACATGTGAAACATATTTTCTGAAACAACATATTTTCTGGAAAATTTTAAAATGCTACAAAATATGATGTGGATATTTTGATGATATGATTATTTTATAGTCACAATCTAGGTGTTGACCAAATGAATATTAATGCAAGTTTTTCTCCCAAATCAGTTCATTCGTTTGAGTGCCCCTGTATTTGTGATTTCAGCACATAGGAACATTAATAATCAAGAAAAAGAATCAAATTTTATGAGCAGTTTCGAGAATAGGCTCGTCTTACTGCAAATGTTGGCTAACTCGACAGATGGAGAAAATGTTATTGAAATAAATAATCGAGTCTTTGTGAAGACAACATTTTTCAGTGATACAGAAAAAGTAGTTACCACAAATTAATTGAGAAAACAGAATCTCTAGAAGCCAAAATTTATAATTACAATAAAACTAATCTGAATTTTTGAATGCTGGCTTTAAGAATACTTGCATTTTGCAATGACGAAATATAACAATTAATATGCCATGCAGCAACATAACAGTCAACCACAAGTTGATGCTTTTATGTAAAGTGGAAAGCCTGTATGTGTTTATAAACATAGGAAATAAAAATTACACTTAACATTGACCAACCTGTTTGATGCTGAGGCCAGTCGAGTGTATATATGGATGGAACAAAGTTTATGAATCCGTATTGTTAACATTTTGGTTTTTGGCAGATAATTTATGAAATCTGAAAATCAATAATGGAAAGCAATTCTTAATCCAAAGAATGCTTATCACACTCTTATATTGAAAAATCTTAAATTGAAGTAATACACTCATTTATTGGAAGTTTCATTTATGTGTTTTTTAAATGAATGCAGAAATGTACTTTTATCAACATGAAAACAATGTACCACGAAATAATGTAAAAATTTATATTTTTATATTAAAGGCTTATGTTTTTACAAAAAGCATTTGTTAAGAGCTTTTGTCTTTTAAATTGTACTTTACTTGCTTTTTAAACAATACTGCATGTTTTCTTTGTACTTTTGTATCTTCACTTAAAAGCTTTGTCTAAGAAAACTAACTGTACTTTGGAATGTTTATTGATATCCCAGCTTGGATTGTTCTTTATATATAAAAATGTATATTTGCAAACATCATCTTATATCAAGTGATTTGTAATTAATTAAAATTGCAAAAATAATTTGTAGTGTAATTTCATTATTAAATGTGTCATTTTTCTTAACCCGTTCACGACGGGCACCTCTGTTACCTCTCTGTACCTCTTGGGACGGTACGTTAACCGGATACGTAGTCTTGTGGGGACCAGCAATTCGTGCTGTTAAGCCTAACTTTGGAAAAAAATCCGTATAAATTAAATTTGTCATCCAATTGTTCCAATTTTTGGTACATTATGAGAAGAACATTCAAGTAGTTATCAGAATTAATTTTAAACCTTTATTGTTATATTGTCCTTAAAAATTTTATAAAATACTCATTCTAGAATAATATAATTTTTCCTTTATCCCACAATTAAATATATATGGAAAAATATCCAAACAATCGCAGATTTTACTTAACACAACACATAATTAAAATTAAAAAATATTAAAACTGTCTTTCATAAAAATCCAATGTGCAAACAACGAAAAGGAAGCAATATTTCAAAAAAGAGACACTGTATGATATTCTTTGAAATGTGGGTGTATGCAAAGTCCAACATTGAAAATGTCACAGAATATCAGCAAATTTGACTCATTTAACATTTGTGTATGTATCTTCTAGGGTCAGACAGCGCTTTCATTTTGCCATTAAAAAAATAGAACACCAGCAATAGAACATTAAAAAATAAATAAATAAATAAATAAAAATTAAAAAAAAAAAAAAAAAAAAAACTTTCGCTAAGCCATACAAAATATTGGTCTTAGTGCCGGAAAAATCTAAGAGTAATAAAAAAATCTCTAATGGTAATACATCTACTTCACTATACAAGGTTAAAAAAAATTAAAAGAAATAAAATAAATAAATTAAATTAAAAAGTATTCCAGAGGATCGAGAACATGTTCATTTGTTTATATGAAATATGAAGTGACGCAGTAAAAGCCATCACATTACTCAACACTAAGGAATTAGCATTTGTGTATATTCTTCTTCGTTCAGATACCTATATCCGCAAAAATAAAAATAACATCCAGAACAAAGCATCCAGAACACGTGTATTTGTTTATATCAAATGACCAGTTAAAGAGACATTACATTGCTCAACACCTACCCACGAATCTCCCTCTCATTCCGAAACAAAATACCAAAAATTAAAAACATTGCATAGGAATGAAGATACATATTCTAGTAGCAACAAAATACTAATTAAACGTTCTATCTAAAAAAATCAAATGTGGTACGCCCGGCCATAGAGTGAATTAAATGGTGATTCAAATATGACACACCCGGCCGTGAGGTAATGTTCGCTGCTGATGCACATATGACATGCCCGTACTGAACGGGTTAATAGATCATTGGAAAACCATTAGAAATAGTTACCACATTTTTTTTAATAATAATAATAATATTTTTTTTTAATACTGTTTAATTTTTATGCAATGCTTTTTGTTTAGGGTCATGTTGGAGCAGGGTATTTGTTATTTGTAAGTTAGTTAAGGTTAAGCTTTGTTGTAAAGCTTTAAATATAAATATTTTCCAGTATTAGATTTGTTCTGATGAAAATTACAGTTAATTATTAAGGCAGAAAACTAAGAAGTAAACTGTTCTCCTCTTCTTTTTATAATTTTTTAGATGCCCCATGATGCAGCTGGTGCAATTCTAGATGGTACTATTGACGGGAATAAAATGATAAAAAAAGTTCTTGATTTGTCTGCAGACATCAATACTTTGAAACTAATTCGATATGGTATACTAGCTTTACAGTTGTTGCCTGAAAACAGCAGTGCAGGTAGTTTAAAAATCCACGTGTCTGTGATGTATTGTATTTATATATTTATTATTTGTTTTATTTATTTATTTGGCAATGTAATTTCATTAATTTTTTATGTAAATTAATGGATGTAATTCTATGAATAATAATTAATGACTTCTAGTATTCTAACATGTGATTGATTGTATTAATCAAGTAATATTTTTTCCCATAGAGTTCTACCATTTTTCTGCTTAGGAATGCAGTTTTCCTAGATATGAACTTTTTTATTGTTGGAAAATTATTTTATGATTGATGGTTCATTTTTATAGATAACAGGAATATTTAAAAAATTTCTCCACATCACCAATGTAAATAATAATGTACAATATCGTTACAGTACGGTTGTTGATGATCGAATATGATTTGCTTAGAATATATATGACTGATGAAATCAAGGATTTTGATATGAGAATTTTTCACTCATAAATAATGCCAACCTGTGGGAAGTCTTTAAAAATCTGTTTAGTCTTCAAATTCATTACAGCAATTCTGGGAGCTGTTAAAAACCATTGCAACATCTTCTTCAGGAATAATTGCACTTCGGTTATGTTGTGTTTTATTGAACAGTAACTTAATGCACCTTGTAGTTGCAAAATGTATTCAACCAAAATTGACTGTGATATTTCTCACCCAATAGTGGAAGGAGAAGTAGGCGTTTTAAAAAATTCTTCAAATGCTGTTTTATTGTTGTTTGTCTATTCAATACTTTTAAAGCTCGGGTAAGGCCAGTGTGTTTCATCTGTCATTGGCTCTAAGCAGCAATAAGATTTTGTATTTCTCCTGAAAGTGTATACTGAGTCTATCAGCCTGAAATTTTAATCTATGATTGTATAAAAGTTTTATATGTCAGTCTGTTAAATTTCATTAGAATTTATGATACAGAGCTTATTTACAGTTTTAGAAAAATTAGCAAACTTACAAAACTTCTAATAAAACTTAGCAGTTTAGAAATTTGAAGCTTGGTATTGGAGCTGTATAAATATATTTTGCAATATTAGAAAATGAGATTCATGTTTTGCTCAACAGGTGAATTTGCTTGTATAATCTTGTAAGCTAATACTTGCTTCTTAAATGTGCTACACTTTCTAAGAAGTATGATGGCAGGCTTCTATAAATCTGAGTTTCATAGCATAATAGGAATTTAGTTCTTTGCAGCATTGTGATTTTATGGTTTAACTGCTGTGCTGTGGATGATAAAATGCAAGTAACACTGGGAACTTCCAAGAATATAGCATCAGCTGTTTCTTTGGTCTGTAGTTGTTCAAGGACAATAATATTTGTGTATTGGGACTAGATGAGGTTAGCTGATTAATTGAAATTTTCAAAGCACGTTATCTGCTAGACTGGACTAGCTCATTCAGTACCTTAAGTTAAATGTATTCAAGTACTTTGACAGTTATAATTCTTTAGCATTTTGTGAGAAGCTTGTCTTAGAAAAGAGCTGGCGTAATATTGTGGATTATACCCATATCAATGATAAAGTTGGTGATCAAAGATGGAGGACATATTAAACATCTGTAACATCTGTAATCTGAACTTGAAAAGTTCGTACATATGTGTGTAAAGTTTCATATTCATATGTCATACAGTTTAATCAATATATGCATTTGAAATGCGTATATTCTTTTTGAAACATGCTGAGTCCATTAGGCAAGTAAAAGTTCAGTGTATAATAATCTTATATGCAATACAGCATATCTTCTATGTGTTAAAGGTTTTGTTATGATATGTTAATCCTGATAATTTAATTTTTTATTTTGCATTACATTATAGTTTGCACATATAAATAGGCTATGGCAACTTGATAAAATATTTTCAGTTAATTTTTGTAATCTGAATTGATTTGAATTTTGTGCTGGAAAACTTACTAGATCAAATTAGGAGAGAAACATACCAATATAAATTTAAAATTAGGCAAAAAAGTAACATTAGTTTCGGATAGATTTTTGAGTAAAATTTCAAGTAATTTCAAGTCAATTTATTTGTCAGTTTATTGACATAATTTCAGAAAAAGGAAAAATTTGTAATAATGTGCCTCTTTATATTATAGGAATTATTGTCATAACAGATGGTATTGTGAGTTTTCCAAACTGCAGGTCTTTAGATGCCTTACTTGTACAGCTACGTAACAGTACTATTGCATGCTCTTTTTTACAACTGGGAAGTCCTTTTCATCCATTTGCATGTTTTGGGAGAGTGCCTTATAAAGAATTGATGGAATTCATAGCTACTGCCACATGTGGTGCATATTTTCCAGCCTCTAGAAATATTGTAAGTATTTAACTTTTCAAGTATTTGTGTATATTTTAGATATAAGGAAATATTTTATGTTTTTTGGGTATATCTGTGAAGAGTTGTTATGGAATTATATTGAGAAAATAATGAGTTCAGTATTTTCTTCCTTGGTTGAATTGTACATATACTGTACAAGATGATAAAAAAAAAAAAAAAAAAGTAAGGCCTAAAATGAGCACATGCCAGATATTTTTGAATGACTGAAATGTTATATAAGGGTTATTTTTCAGTTTATGATATTTGCAAGAAATAAGCCTGCTGTGACCAAAGAAAAGGAATTTTATCATTTTGTTAATCGAGTTAAAAGAAGTGCTTTTTGGGCAAAATTTGAAATTTATCTTCAATAGAAGCCTAAAAGACCTAAAAATAATCTGACCTCTCTTTTGTTTTTAGGAGGTGAAAATCTCCCCACTGCTTTTAAGTTCGTGTCATCACCTTTAATGATTTTAAAACCTAAGTATGTTGTCTGTCTCTTTAAAAAAATTGCATTTAGAAGGTCTCAGTTTGAGATTGTGCACTTTTAGCCTATCAAATAAAATTTTTAATTTTTCTAAATGTTCTTAAAATGTCTTAGAAGCAATAACAGTATTGTCAATATAAATCCATATTTTAAGAGGTGAAAGATTGGCTAAAACAATAGACATTAACCTCTTGAAAAGAACTAGAAGCATTATGCATACCAAATAGACAAAATACCAAATAGAGTTAGAGAAACAGTTTTGAAAGTATCATCTGGGTGAATTTTCATTTGAAAAACCCTAAAGTTAAATCAAGTATGGAAAATAATTAACATCTTTCAACAACTCAACAAGCCCATTCACGTTAGGTAAAGGAAAATCGTCTTCTGTGGTCTTGTTAAATTTATGAAAGTCGGTGACTAAACTGTAAGTATTATCAGCCTTTTTTACAAATAATATTTTAGTACTTTAAGAACTATCTCTTTCTTGTATGATGTTTGCTTCAAGAGTTCTGTTACTTGTCTGTTAAGTTCTTACCTAAGGTGATAAGGCACTTTATGAGGCTTTGTGACACTTACATCTAAAGAGAATTAAGCTTACATCTGAATAGGATTCATTTTAAGTCTTCATGTTAAATGATATCCATGTTGTGACCATTCTAATATTATTGAAAACACCTTGCATTAGATTGTCTTAAAAAATCTTACATGTTTGCATAAGTCTGTGAATTGCTTTTATGATTCTAAAAGTTTTCTAATTATATTTCTCCTCTAAGATTTATCTTTTCTACTCTGAGAAGTTTTCTATAATATTGGCTAAAATACATTTTAATGCATTTTAGATAAGAAAAATTAATAAGTTATATGAAGATATAAGATTTTAAAAAGTATTCCATTTAATAACAGCTAGCATTGAGTTTATAGTTCCTTTTCAATGCATAAATCATTTTCTGCAAATAAATAGATCTGTATAAAAACAAGACTTTTAAATGTCTTTTTAATAATTTTAGCAATAATAATTGCTTGAGTTGATGTGTGTTTACTTTGTATTCTTATACAATATATTAAGTTTTTTAAGTCAGAAATTAAAATGTAATAAGACTGTATTTTTTACAATATTAGGTTATTCAAAATTCTGAATCCAGTGAAATAAATGCATATCACAGAGCTTTATTGCTTTGGAACTTCCAAAAAACATCAACATCATGCTTTTTAGAAGCGTATGAACCATCTCACAAGAAAGATGATTATTGGCATGTAGAGTAAGTGCACACTTTTTAAAAAAAGTCTTTATTAAAAACAGGATAATTAATTATGATAAATATGAAGTCTTAAAATCATGTGTAAGTTACTGTAATGAAATTGTTATGTGTAATTTTAAGGCTGAAAAATTTTATAGAGGTATGATGTAACACATAATGTATTTGTAAACGTAATTAATTGTAGTAGATGAAAAAATACCACTCATTTACTTTTTATGCAGCATCACTGTTTTATGCAAAATAAATTAATAATAGTCATAATATATTAATAAAGTGCAGAATAAGAAAAATGTTGATATTTAAGTTCATCTTTTTGTTTTGCTTTTGAGGTTTGCTAAAACAAGATAGTGTGTAATTAGATGGACCACAAAGCAAGTTCTCAAAATTATGGAAGCTTTAGAGGGGTTGTCAAAAGTAATGGAAGCACTTGAAAAAATGTAGAATTATGTACCTAATTTTATGTAGGAGTATCTTTGGCATTCAAAAAAATTTAACTTCCTCTTGTAATGGAAGCTTACAAATTTTGAATGATGATAATAGGTATTTTATACCATTCTTCTATGGAAAAGGCTCCTGTTTCTTGTGATACATTTGGGAGGAGTTGGCTATTGCTGTTGCAACTCAGATCATCATGATTAATGATATTTAAGTGTGGTGATTGTGCAGGTTTGGGAAGATGTGTAACCTCATCTTCGTGGTCTTCAAATCATTACTGAACAATCTGATTTTGATGAACGAGGGTATTAATAGCTTGAGAAGTGCATTTGCCCATAAAAACCAGTGTCTGCACCATTGATCGGGCATCATAATTTCAATATGATTACACTGTCTCTGCTCTTTATTCTTCTTTATGAGGTAGTAATTGAACCTGCTACAAATCATAATATGACTGCCCGCAGTATGAATTACCATCATGTTTTTTTTATAGAAAGCAGGCAGTCTGGATCATAAGCTATTGCTGCTGTTCTCCATAAATAATCCTGTCCTGAATGGGAGAATAGTGTAAAGGTTGATTTACCAGAAAATTGAACTATTTCAATTGAATAACATTCCTGCTTTAGATTTCTAGCATTACAACAGTCTCCAATCTGCATTTACTTATAAGAGTTTTTGAGATAACATCTCTACTATAAATATTTTTCTTTTGCATTTCTCTTCATATTCTATGTGACAAAATTTGATTTTGTAAATGCATATTAAGCTTAGCTGTAATCTTTATTGCAGTAATTTTCCTTTTTTGATGTAACAGTCCTCTTTAGCATTTTCCTGGCTGTGTAAATATATGTTGCTTTCTCATAATTATGAGTCAGAGATGATGTTTTACCATTATTACTGTGGGTTATCAAAGATTTTACATGCAGCACATTTTACTATTCGCAGTAATTTTACAGTTGAGTTTAAGCAACAAGTGGGTACCAATAATTTCAACTCTGGATTACATATTTTCCTTCACTAAGAACCAGTTGAAATCTGAAATTTTACACTATAATATATATAAGTATGTAATATATGAAAATATGTCTAAAGTAATCATGCATAAAGTTAGATAGCAGTTTTTACAGTTAACTATGCAGCGTGTAGACACAAAAGTCAAGGAACTGTTCATTACCTTCCTCTTGTCATTACCATTATCATGTAGAATTTTAGTGTGTGTTTCTCTTGATTACAACATTTTTATCAGTGTCTATAGATTTTTCAAAATTAATCTGTATACTTGAAATGGTATTCTAGTTTTCATCATCAATTTTTTATCATTTGCAGATGATTTTACTCTTTCACTTTCTGATGAAAATAAGTCTTCTTTCAGCAGTTTGTAATCTAAGCTTCAGAAGTATTTTTTCATGATAAAAAAAACATTTGAACTGAACTATCTCAGATATAGAGTAATGAGAATTTTCTAAATCAAAGTGCTTTGTGAACTGTGACATAACTGATAATTTCCTAATTCAGAAGGTTAAGATTGCTTGTGCAGTTAAAAAAAAAGAAAAAAAAAAAAAAAAAAAAAAAAAAAACAGTATTTTTTTATTGTTGGGCATTAGGAAGTCACAAGAGTGAATGGAGCACCAATCTATGAATCAAAAATCACTTACCACTTCTCTCCCTTTTGTTATAAAACCATTGTTAAGGTTCCATTTTCTTTGAAATATGTAGAAGTTAATGTAAAACTTTATTCTATACAGCTAGTGAGACTTACAAATAATACAGAACAACTTATCAGCTTTTTTGCTTCAGCATCTTATTGGAATCTTGCAGTATATTAACTTGGTTACAGCTCCAGCAACTTTACATGAAACTACCACACCAACTAGCTCATAGAAAAAGCATAACTAATTTTCAACAGTTACCAAGCATATCAGTCAGGCATTCAAATCTGTTCTGAGCAAATGGTCTCTCTCTCACTAGGCAAGCAGCAGCCGTGGCAACAGTCAAGTTTTTAACATGAATCATTTTAATTGGTTAAACAAAATGCAAAGCATTTTAAAATCTTGTATAATACAGAAATGATAAAACTTTTTTTGCATTTTGATATTGAAATGTACTTTTGGGAATGGTATTTGAAAAGTTTAAACAAAAATAAAAGTCCTTGCTAAATTTATACTACAATCGATAAAGTACGTTTTTTTTAAATCAAAGAATGTTTTATATTAGCCAATCATAGTGTTTACAACAAATTTTTTGGGAGACCTTTAAAGTTCTTCAAGGGAAAATAGTTTTATCTAATAATTATTATTATTCACTATTTAATTCAAATAGCATGAGGAAAATGCTGGAGGAGAGAGGTATATTTTATTAATTTCGTTTTGGCATTTTGCGCTGAAAACTTTAAATGTTGGTTCAATTTTCAAATTGTTGCTACCAAATATTATCGCTATGTGTTATATTTAAAGAAATTAGATAATGAAGAATCTGCATAAATGTATGCATGTTTCTCGCATTGTGATAAAACAACAGCACCTAGATTCATCAAATAATAATGTAATCTTCCACTCAATATGGGCATCTGGAAGCCCTAATTCGGAATTTGAAATTAATTTTAATATCGATTTCATATTTTATAACACTTAACAAATTTTTCATTAAACAAACTCAAGGATTTCAAAGCGAGCAATGGCAAAACTATACAGGGGAAAAAAATATATATATATATGTCCAGTGCATGAGGCTGTGTATCGGAAATTCTAAAGTTATGCTCATTTTAAAATTATTTTGCGATGTTGCTGTTGGATTGAATTTTATGGTTTAAGGGCAAAGAACATTATATTTAATAAATAAAGGTAACACACAGAAGGTTAAAAAAGAGCTCCTTTGGGCATAATGTAAAATCAGAAAGCTTTTAGATTTTTAATTTAAATTTATTTATTTTAAACTTTTGTGAAATTTTATCAAATGGTAAGCCTGGGAATAATCGTGTGGAAAAATTAAATGGTTGAAGGAAAAGAATAAATTGGTAAAATTTTGGAACTCAAATTTAAAAAAAAAAAAAAAAAAAAGAATAATATTTAAAACAAATAAATAATAATGAAATAAATGTATAGTTAACTAATAAAATCATTCAAAAAGAATCTCACATAATCATACATTAAAAGACAGTTACCAGAATTAGCAATAAAGTAATGTATGTTTATCATAATATCAAATAATTTGAAAAGCGGTTTCTTACTATTTTGAGAGTATGTACAGAACCAAATGGATTGTAGCACTTAAGGCTCTAGTTAATATATTTTTTTTTTCATGTGTGTTTAAAAGTTTTAAAATTTATCTTTTGTGTCTGTACTAACGTTTTTAAAAATTATTTTACATTATTTTAATTCCATTAAAGCCATATCACACATTTTCAGTTCCATTTTGGCTTATTTCTTTCGTCACATATTTAACTTGATACTAGATGCTTTTCCTTATCCCAGAATTTTTTTTTTTTTTTTTTAATTTTCTGTCCTTTTTATTAAATCTATGATAATAATTCATTTACTGTAAAATAATTGTATCTGACAGCTTGCAAATCAGAAGATTTATATTCATTCCAACAATCAGAAAATGTAATAGTTCCATCAACAAAATTCTTCTATTTTGTGGTCATTGAAGTGTGCATAGAATGAACAGGAATTTATGTGTTCTCTTACATTGTTTTTCCTTTTTCTGGAAATAGCTTCTCAATAATGTTAATTCTATATTTTTGAGTTTCTACAATTTTGTTGTATCCACCAACTTTTATCATTAGCATGTGATAACAATGAGTCAACTGTTGCATTTTTATTAATTTCAAGCTGTAGTCAGCAAAACTCAAATGGTGTTAACTCTTGACACCATAAGTACATAAATTGCATAGCAGTAATGAAAGGAATGCCAGATCTATTCTAATTTTAATTTTGTGTTCATACCCTTTTCTTGCTGGCACAAATGAAGGCTGCATAGCTTTACAATTTTGAGTCGCATTTGAATTATGCGAGATATTTAATGTAACGCACCTTTCCCCCCCCTTGGTGTGAATGTTTGTGTGTATGCAGAATATATTTTTTAAAAGAATAGAATAGCTACTTACTAATCTTGTCAAATTTCAAAATGTGAAATGCAGTGGAAGGAAGGGGTGGGAACCATGATTAGAGGAAAAACATGTTTGTGCAAATAATGGTTATAAAGGCAATTATCACCTGGAAAGATGCCAAACAAAACCCTTCCTGCCTGGCACCAAGAAAATGTGTTATAATGTGTGAAAATAAAATAAGTGCTGAATCTTATCTCTTTATCAGAAAAATACCACTTTTACTTTAAACTTTATCTGCTATACTTGAAAAAAAAGCAAAAAAAAAAAAAAAAAAAAAAAAAAAAAAAAAAAAAAAAAAAAAAAAAAAAAAAAAAAGAAAAAGAAATTTTGAGATTCATAAAGAATGACATTAAATGAAAGTGATCTTTTTTTTCCCCCCATTCTTTTTCAGAAATCATTATTTTTATACTGTAAAATATCAGTCCAGAGTCACGAAGAAGCACACTGAAGGAACCCTTAAAGTTAGTTTGGAAAATCTGTTGTCTTGTCGTCTAAGAGAAGGTTATACTGTCAAAAGTATCATAGTTGATGAAGGTAAAAATGTCCTCTTGTCCTGTAAAACTTTCGCTTATCATCTTTAAATGATATGTTTATATATTATTCATATGTTTTGCCTTTTTTTAAATTTGTATTTATTTATTTTAAGGATTTTTGGTACCATAATTTATTAGCATTTTAAATAAAATGTACTTGGAGCTTTTCCTAGACATGACTGACATATTTTTTTAATTAAAAGGTTACTATTTCTTCTGATGTGCAAATTCATTATTAATTAATTACCTGCACCATCTTTAATATGCAAGTGCTATGCAAGAGTGATCCCAAGAACTACAGTAAATGTGTATTTAATTGAATTTTGCTTAACCAAAATACGAAACCATAAAATAGTAGTTGAAAACTTTATGTTATCTTCAGCTTTTCTTAATGCTATTTTTTTAATCGTTATTTTATTCTTGAATGATAAGTGTATATTATGTAAATGGTGCAGGCAATATCAATGTAGTGTCTGTAAAGTTCTCAACCTTTGACTTTTGTCCAGTAGATGATTTTCAAGTGCCTTTGGTCATAGATGGATTATGTCAATTAAAAGGAATGTATTTAGTTCAAAATATATCTTAAAGTTACTAAACTAGCCGTAGTGAAAAGATTAAAGAATATTGTAGATGAAAAAGAAATAGTAAAACATCTCAGAATAACTTTTGCTTGTGCCTGAGAAGCTGTATCAATGTAGAGTGTCAATGTAGCAACTGCTGTTAACAATATTCCTAGAGAATTTCTGAACTAGATGTGGTTTATATAAGCACCTAATTTTATGTTGCAGTCAAAGGCCGGAAGAGAAACAAATGTACTTCATTTGTTATTTTAAATGAAATAGAAACATTAAAGTAATATATCATATACTTTTTCGTAATTAGCTAATAAATATTTATTTCTTCTTTTAACTTCTGAAATTATTACCATGGATTACATGAAAAAAGGTTATCCAGGGTATCTCTGCTTAGTTAGCTTGGAAAAATGAGGTACCTTTGTCTTCCTTTTTTGTAATTTAATGTTTTTACATATCCAAATTAGATTTGTTGTAGTTTATTTATTGAGGATATAAAGATCAGAGCATTTTATCATAATAAATTCAAATATAAGAATTTGAATAAATTTAAGCTTTCAGCAAACTGCTAAAAGAAGTCAAATGGTGTAAGATATTTTTATCTTAAAAAGAAAAAAAAATATCTTGAATTATTGTAGTCAAAATAAAAGAGTCCAATTATTTTGGAAATCTAGATCACCTATATGTGAAAAAAATTGCCTCTCAGCAATGTGCTTAACATGAACAATTTTTCCCAGATCAGATTAGATGTTTGACTGCTGAAATATTTCTATGAAATTCACTATTCCACTAGTTAATCAAAATGGTCTGTTAATAGTCTACATCTTTTCTATGTGAAATATCAAACATTCAAATTTTAAATGAAGCTTTATGAACATATGATTGCTATATGACAGTAGTTCTCAGCCTTTTTTCCCCCATGCACTTTTTTCACCATTGCTAAAAGATCATTCCTCTCTTTCCAAACTTAAAAAATACATATATATTTATGTAGATTTATTTTCTAACATGTTGTATAAATTAGACAACAGAAAGTATATAAAATGTTGGTAAATGCTAAAACTTGAATAAAAGTAGCTCCATATGTTCATAAACTAAAAGTAAGTAATTTATGTTAAAATAACACACGGAATAATGATTATTGGAGAAGTCCGACAACAAGAATCAGTGTAATATTTGTAAATTTGCAGGATTAGTTTCGATGGTTTAACTAGTTAGCCATCAAAACTAGTACTGCAAAATTTACAACTATTAAACCAATTCTTGTTATTTGATTTCTCCAAATAAACTTGAATTTACTTTACAGCTAAATAAAGGGCTAACCAAACTCCCTCCTGAAACTATGAAGTCCCCCCCTAGGGAAAATTCTGTTCTTCATGAGAATCCCTGCTATGTAAACTGTCTGGTCACCCATATTGTATTTGGTGTTGAGCACCTGGCTTGTTTCGAGCAAACTAGTTACTAATAGGCTTATTCTTATTGTATTTCATTTGTTGCTGTGTTTGAGAGAGTTAAATCTGCCTTGATTGGTATATAGGTTAGCAATGCTAACTACTGTATCATTGGGCATGGGTTTGAATTGAGAAAAAGGCATAGATGTTTGTAAGTCTATAGTGTCTATGCAACACGAGAAAATTTGAAAACTGCATAACGGTTCCTTTTGAGTGGCTTGGTTGTAAGGGAAGAGAAGTGGGAGGCCTTTGGATCTTCTTTGGTGTTTTCTGTTAAAATTGGGATAAAGCTGCACAATAAGTGTGATGGAACTATTCCTGTATGACCAATTGTGATATTCGTGTCCCTTTCACTTCTATCTATTCCTGCTTTTAATGTATTCTAAATTTAAAGATATTTTTAATTAATTTTAATTTTTTGGTCTACATAAGTGTAACTATCATGATTAGATGCTTTATGCCCATGATTTGGGGAATCAAAACATAGTACTTAATTACTTTTGTCAGTGTTATGAACTGGCAAGAATTCTTATTAAAGTCAAAACATTAACACATTTTATTGTTGTGTGCTCACCTTTAATGAGAAAACTCCAAGTTTTTTACAAAAAGATTTGAATTCTTTTTGTTTCCGGTTAACATATTTAATATAAAATGTTATTTAATCAGTTGTGTTATTTTAGTAAAGTGTTTTTTAAATAAAGCTTTGTTATGTCCACATGGATTGATAGTACATTTTCATTAAAAAATGTTCTCTCCTCAGACACAGGACATAAAGAATCTAGTCATCTTGAATGCATTTATGTCATTTACAAATTAAAGCTGATTACCGATTAAAATTGTCTTTTGATTTAAAAAAAAATGTTATTAAAAGCTGCAGATTTAACATTGCCACAAAGAACAACAAATGAAATACAAGAACAAATAAGAACAAGCATACAAGTAAGAACAAGCATGCTGGCTACTAATTTGCTTTGATGAAACTGGTGCAGTCAGGAGCCAGGATACCAAGCACAAAATAATTCAAGCTATTAACTTGACCCTTGTCCCCAGCCAGGTTATATAGCTTATTTAATAGTTATTAGCTTATTACTTCACTTAAATTTTAAAAAGTTGTTATTTTTTGTAGCTGGGATGTAGAATATTAATATCTCAAATTTGAAATAATTCGAGAAGTATTGAAATTTTTAGGAAGTTTTAAATCTAATTTTGGAAGAAATTTTGTAGGTGAAAAATGTATACTGAAAGACGGCTTTTCCATATGTAAGCAAACTAAGTTTTTTTTTTTAAATTCTTTTCACTTCATTTGTAATGTTCAACTTATTATATAATGAAAGCAGTTTCTGTTAAGCTTATTAGAAATTAGGCAAAGGAGAAATAATTATTCTTCATGAATAATTATTATTATTTTTACAGTGCTAACTTTTCAGCTTTTATTTTCTAATGTTAAGTACTTGAAATTTCGTAGTTCGTATTTGGATATTTTTACTGCTAAAATAAAGGATTACTGTGACAACAATGAGGGATCATTTTGCAATTTGTTATTTAACTATGATAACTGGAATTCTGTAGTTTTGAGGAGCTTATTTTGCATGGTTACCATGCTGTACTTTTCTATACAGCTGTGCCATTCATATTCAGTTCTTAAAAAGTAATTTTATTATGTTATTATTTTTGCTTAAAACATGGATACTGAGTTAATTGAGTTTTTGTCAAAAAGCATGCATAGTTTATAAATTGAGTTTTTGTGGATTATAGCAAAGAACTTGACTGAAGTTAGGCTGGTTCTACCTTGGATGTTAAGTACTAATATAGAATATTTAGTGACATCAGGCCCTGGAAGACAGTGGTATGTGCTATATTTTTTACTCATGTTGTTTAAAGGCAAACGTTCTGCTGTATAAGTATTTAAGCTTTTTAAAATATTCTGATAGTAGAATTTGCATATAATCATTTGATGAATTTTTAAAATTTAGAAAATATTTGTAATCATATAAATTTACCAATGTGCTGGATTTGTTATTTTACTTAAATATGTCTTTTTTAAATATGTACTGAAAGGCCTTTTTTAAACTGGATTTTTTTTTTTGTTTTGTTAACTTTGTTAAACTGAAAGCTGTTCACAGTACTTCTGACTTTATATAAAATATATTAGTTGTGCATCATTGTTTGCATAATTCATATATTATTTTGATTATAAAAATTATCATTTATTGTTTTGACTATATAAATAATAAAAGAAAGATATTTCCTTTTTTAGAGGGATGGGCAGGAATATATATTTTTATTTATATTATAGTTGTAGGATTTTTTTACAGTTTTATTTATATTATTTGCAAATCAACTTAACATTGTCTCATTGAGACTTCCTTACTAATATAATCCATAGACATATTTAGATTTAGCCAGTATTATTATTTTATTCCTTTACTGAATAAAATTTGATTATTTTGAAATAATTTTCTTTTGTGTGTGTGTAAGAATTTGTATAATTATTTAAAAATTTAAGTATTATGTTTTGTAGATATTAGAAAATTTACTTTTGTAGGGTATGCTGAGTAGCTTTTGATATATTTACTTTTTGTGTATTATAAAACGTATGTATATTAAATTTTCTTTGAAATTTAAAATTCTATGGAATGGTTTTCTGTCTGTAACATTTTTATTTCTTGTGTATGATTAACATCTCAAAAATATTTTTGAACCTTATATTCTATTCTATTTTCTATTACCTTTTTTATTTTTGTAAGTCTGATTAAGAAGTTTGAATTTTAATTTATAAAAAAGTATTCAATTTTTGTATAGGAAAAGCACTAGTGCTGATATTACAAACTGTCATTTTGAAGTCATTGTTGATGGCTGTTATGAATTCTTGCATGATGTAACTTGTTCAGAGAAGAAACCTATTAAAAGTATTTATCGAAAAACAGTTATTGCTCAATTTTGGAGTTACATAAAGAAGTAAGGATTTGAAAACATTTTTTTTTTTTTCTAGTTCTTTTAGAGTTGATTTGTTAAATTGTGCATTTTTCTAGACATGAACAATTTTCACATCTTTCTTTCATTTTTTCATCTTTCAGTTTATCCAATACTGATCAAATTTTAACCCAGCTTCATTCATTTGCTCACAATCCTGTTTACTATACTATTCCAGACAATATAAAGAATGGTGTTCCTTTATTTTATTTTGCTCCAAATTCGTCACTACCAGTACTTTCTTCAAAGTAAGAATTATTTTACAATTTAATGAATTTTCATGTTCTTGAGTTTCAAAAATCCCTTTTAATATGTGATATTTTTAAAAATGCTGTATAACCAAATATTTAGAGTTCTAATGCATGTATGTAATGCATCTATACATGAATACATTTTTTAATCTGATCCCAATAACAGAAGAGTACCAAAACACACTATGCAATTTCACTTATTCAGTTCAGTTGTATTATTTCAAAAATATAGTAGAATCATATTAAGAAGTTTTTGAATTGCCAAGAAGATTAGGAAGTTCTTAAATAGGAAGTCTTAAAAAGGAAAACTAATTAAATAGAATAAGATAATAGGCAAACATTTTAGAACTGATAAGAGTGCTGAAAAAGACAACTAAGATTTTTTGAAATGAATTGTAGTAAATTTATTAATTAAGTCTGAATTTTTTAAATTAGTAATAGTAATTTGTAAGAGCATTAAGGATTTACTGCAAGTACATTAACATAAGTTAGTGCAATTTCAGAAATTTTCTGGGGCTAATTGAATTTTCAGACTTCAATAGTCAGCAGATGAATGCAAATTCTAGTGCACATTAATCATGTGTATTCTCATTTTTTTTTTTACTGCTGAATTGGCACAGCTGGACATACTGGCTGTGCTCATAGCTGCCAACTCTCTCAGCTTTTTCTTTTTCGCCCACCAATGGCCTAGCGGTAAAGACGCTGAACACTGGTAGTTCGGTCCATGGTTCGAATCCCGCAAACGGGCTGGCTGCATGGGCATTTTCATGGTTTTCCCCATGTGTAACATGTAAACGAGCCAGTTTCCCTTAGAAAGTCCTCCACAAAGGCATCCCCCCTTTAGGTAGATAGCCCTCGTGTGCTTTGCCATAAATGAACAATCCAATCCAATTGAATCCTCTCAGTTTTTCATCACATCTCTCAATCTCCTGAATCACCTAATCTGCAGATTTTTAAGTTTTAGTGTTTACTAAAACTACCAAGTAAAATGTTTACTAGCAGTAAATGGAATTTATTGAACTAATTAGACTTTACTTATATAAATTCCAATCCCATTTTATTATTGATGTTATAGCATATTTTTTATTAACTTTTATTTTATCTGCATTGTCTTAATCCACTGTAAACTTAATAGAACTTTTTATGAAGATCCAATCAGTATTTAATCACTTAATATTTGTATTTACTTTTGTCATGCTGTATTGGTGTATCAAGTGCAAACTGTGCAATGTTTCCCAAAGCATTCACCTTCTGGTCATGTAATCAGAAACTGTAACATGTAATCAGAAATCATGTAACATATTCAGATTCCATCCAGATTCAGATACAAAGGTAATGTATCAGATATACATTACCTTAGTAGTAAGAATATAGTTAACATATTCAGATTCCAGAGGTGTTTTATCTTTGAGTTAAATAAAACTTCTAATATGGAAATGTTTTATGCATACTATTAAAACTTGCTACATTTGTAAAATTGCCGCCCATACGGTATAGTGGTTAAAGGAGCCGATTGCGATACCAAAGGGCCCATGTTCGAATCCCAGAGAAGGTATGGTTGTAACTGTCCATCCCTTCATGGTAGGCAAAAGTGGCCCACCCGTTAAGTGCCTGCATAATAAAGTGACTACCACTTTTGGCCTTAGTAGTGGAAAAGCCGAAATCAGCTAATGTGATGGCCTGCCACTGGTGAAAAAAAAGAAAAAAAAAAAAAAAAAGAAAAAAAATTGTCAAATTTCATGAAAAAAAACCTTATTTTTGTTATTTTAGATTAAACTTACTGGATGCGAAAAACTGAAGATACAGAAACTTCATGTCCAGGAAAAATTTTAAATAATATTTTATGAATTTTTTTCTTTCAGAATTAAAAAAAAATTAAATTTCCTAAAGGCAAAAACTTCTTACATTAGAATTTATTCAGGTTCTCACATAATATACTTGTGGACTCATTGTTTTTTTTTTTTTTTTTTTTTTTTTTTTTTTTTTGAGTACATGAAAAATGAGCAATGCCTTCACTGGGACTCAAACCTGGACCTCTTGAATACACTCCTAGTGTGCTACCATTACACCATAAAGGCATTCTGGGAGGAAGGAGAGAATACCTTATATATTATTTTAATTATCGTGCCTTATGTGATGTATGCAAGCCATCCATCCATCTTATGTTCTTTATAGTCTTTCAGAAATATTCATTGTCTTTCATACACTAGTATAAAAGACAGTTGTAGAATATCAGCTATAGTAGTTTTGTGTAAAATTGGTAAAAGTTATACCATTTATAAAACTATCATATCATTGAAATTTTTCTTATTATTTTATATTTCAAGCTTCCATTTTATCACAGCTTTGTAAATGAGATATATTTTTCTATTTAAAAAGTCAATATATGAGTCAAATGCTGTTAGGTTTTTTTTTTTTCCTGTAGCAGAATGTAAATTTTTAAATTCCAATTTGATATAAGCATTTCTATTAGGTAGTTAATTACAAATAAGAAATAATATCCAGCATATATCTCTAATTTTGTTAGGCAAATTAATGCAATAACTTGAGAATTTCAATTTTTGCTGTGTACTGCGGTATCGTTAATTTAAGTCACATTCTGGACTTTTTATTTATTATTTAAAAAAATACTTTTAATGAAGTGATGTTTAATTTTGGGATGTGTTAATGGAAAATACTGATTTTAATCAAATTATCAACATGTTGAATTTCAGAAACATCAATCCATTGAAATCTGTATCTTGGGCTTACTAGAGTTAACAAGTATTTATTAAGTTTTTAATTCATACTCTAATAAATTATGCAAGTAAGCAAAAGATTTTCATTTGAGAACTAATGAATAGAATTTGAAAGATAATTTGTGCATTCAATATTCAGAGTCCTCCTATATCAATTTTTATAGTCCACTATAGGTGCAAGCTGATTCAAGTCTTTAGCACACATAACTAGTTTAATACTTTTCTAACAATCTGTATAGTAATTTTCACTGGTCATTCATATAGAGTGTAAATAGCTATTTAGCAGTATGTAAAATGAAATTATGTTTAATAATTGTTTACATTTTTTTATTACAGGAATGTTGCAAATATGCAGTTTACAGCTTTTTGGAAGCCATTAAGTATGCTTGATATAAATGTGTGGTAAGGATGTTGCATTTTTCTATATTTTTGCTTTCTTGAAAGAATTGTAAAAATAAAATCTTTTTGCTTTTGATGACGTTAATCTACGTGTGGAATATTATTCCTTTTATATTAATTTATATTTTCATTTAATATTTGTAAATGGTTATATATTAGAATTTCAAACATAATGCTTTAATGTTTCCCACTTTGTGCATTATTGAAAAGTATTCTTATAATGTTTTTGATCTCATTTAACTTGAGAAAAGCAGATTGCATGTCTCAAATATATGTAATTTTTCATTACATCTATACAATATTCCCAGAACTCTAAAGTACAAAGTATTCCATACATAACCTGTGTTAGTACATTATGTAGTTAAAGGAAGTAGACTCTGTTTTATAAATTTGGCAGTTAAAAAATCATATACAGTCAATAAATTGGTATATGTGACTATGGTTTGTACCTAAAGACTTACTGTAGAAGCATATTTTTTTAATGTAAAAGTTAGTTTAGATTTTTACTGATAGATGCTGCTGTTAGTATTACAATGTAAATGGGAATGAGAAAAATTAAGATTATGCTGCATTTATTTGTTTGCATTTGTCACTGTGTTGATATGTGTTAGTCCATGTTGAGCTATTAGTTGCATTTCATTTTTAAAGGATTTAAGATAATAAAATTTTATTATATTAAGGGTGCAGTATAATTTAATAGTGAAAATTTAAACTAAAGTGTACCATATGTCCATGAAATTTCACTTTGCTGGTAAATCTTCAGGTACAAATTATACTCTGATACACAACTTTTCTGATGTTATGTAACACTTTAAGTGTCTACATTTATTGGACACACTGTGCATTTATAAACTGCAGGAATGTCATATTATTTTTTATGTAAAAACTGCAGGTTGCATATATTATTATTTTGGTTTAAAAAGAAAAAAGGGAGAAGAAAAAAATTAAGATTAGGTAATTTAATTTACTCATATTTATTTAAAAGTTTAAAAGACCTTGTTTTCTGCAGAGTTAATTAGTGAGATAAATCGTATTTATGAAAGCAGTTTTATGTATCACCACAGATATCTGATATTTATAGACCAAAGAGGTTAAACTTTTAAAAGATTTGAAGACATTGTTACTCCCCTTCTTCTCAGTGTCAGAAAACTCTGCTTTAAGAATGAAAAGAAAATTGTAATAACCTTAGATGCCATTGCTTCTACAATGTAGCCCTTACTTTCTCAGTACTGCTGGCAGAGAAAAGACATTCAAAGCAAATAAAATAAAGGAAATAAAGCTAAAATGGATTTAAAAAGCATTTTTTTAATTGAATTTGATTTATTAACAACAATAAAGCATCTATTTAAATTAGGTATTTAGAAAAATTAGTTACCAGAAAACAATTAGTATTATAGAAAAATCTGTAATTTTAAAAGACATTCCATTTCATATAACATTTGTATGAGGTTTAAAAAAAGGTGCATTTTGGAATTAAAGAAATTTAGCTGTTTGCCTTTATTTTAAACTTGCATTCTTTATTGTATTCTATGTATTTTAATCTGAAACATCCATTTAATATCTGATGTAATTGCTGTCTGATAAATGAAAGCTGGAATGTTTGCAGATGAAGTACTTAGTAATTTAAGTAGTGTCTAAGAATGGCTGACATTGATATGTAATTCAACTGAAAGAAAGTTAGAAAGCTTATGAATGAAATCAAATGATTTAGAATATCTCTGTATCAGGGCTAATTTTAAATCCATGAAGTTAATATTGTAGCTTTCTTTAGCTAATATATTGATGCTATTTTTTAAAAACATTTTATGACTTAATTTACATATTGAAAAGATATGTTTACTTTGAGATTTATTTGTAAGAACAATCAGCCAAGGTAAAATTGTTTTCTCAATTTATTATGTGACAGGCAAAAATGGATGCATGCACATAGAATTGGAGTTATTTTGCAGCATGATATGCCTTTACCAAATAATCTTCATCTTCCTAATTCAAGTGGTAGGTATGTTAATGTGCAATGCCGTCAAGCAACTGCAGCTTTAAACTCTTTGCTGAGTGAGCACTGTTCTTTTGTTCTTGTCGAGAATCACTCTTACATTAAACTTCTGTTTGAGTAAGTTCTTTTTATATATTCATGTTTTTCTGATTTGTTTATCATATATTCTATTTTAAAAATACAGGCAGCAGAATTATACATGTTCTATTCTGATGAGAATGAATCTTTTACAAAGATAATGTGTTGAAGAAAAGTGTAATAAAATTATAGATAGCAAAGTTTTTTTTTTAATCTCAAATCAGCATTAATTTAAATTTGCCATGTTTTAATATATAACCAGGCTAAGATTTTAATCTAAGATTGCCTGAATTTAAGCTGAATCTTTTGCTGTTTTTCCAACAGAAATAATGCTTATATTTTTATGTAAAATTTTTGTTTAATGAGAAAACTGTTTTATTAGAATTCATGTATTTAGTACATGTGATGTGCAAAAACTATGAAAAAATAAATTTATACCTTATATGATTAATTTTTGACTTGATAAATTCATAAATAATTGTTTTACCTAATAAGTTCTCAACTTACGAATTCATGTGGTAGCATTTATGTTTCTGCATATAATTCAATATTTTTTATTATGAAATGAGTGTTGTCATTTCTGTTGACAGATTTTTTTGCTTTCCATTTTCATTTTAAATAGGTTTTTTATAAATACTTTACATCATACTGTTAATTATTTTTTAGTGAGCCAGACAAACCTCCAACATCATTTTACGTGATTCGTGTCACAAGCAAACCACCATGTGTTGTCATAAGGCTTGCTTTTTTGGGAGGTTTACCTGGTCTTCTGAGATACGAGGTTCTGTTATTTCTCTGCTTTTTAAAAAAAAAAAAAACAAATTTTGATTTTATGAAGTTCAGTAGTTTGTACATGAAAAGTTTATGTTTTGTTTATTTTTTGTGTATATAAAAAAAGTTTTTAAAAATTAATAAACAAAAATTTCTTTTAAAATTTCTAGATCTGCAGTAATTGTTAGACATACCAAAAGATAATAATAATAATTAGAAGTATATTAGATAAGATTTCTGATAATAATTTTACCTTGTACAAAGCATAACCATTTGCTTTTCAATATTGCCTTATTTAAATAGGGCAGCTTAGCTGCTGATATTTTCCACAGCTAGCTTCTTCTTTTAAGACATCATTTTACAATGCTGATGGGTTTTTTTAAAATGTAATAACTTTTATAAGCGTCATGAGAATTGTATTTATAAATTTTGCATTTTAGAACACAATGTAGCAAAGAAATGATGTCTGAATGATGCAAATTTTGAAGTTTTGTTTGTTTACTGTCTTTGCATTAAATTGCTAACATTTATTTTTAGAAAGGGAAGTTATAAATAGTTCTTAAACAAAGAGAAAAAACTGGAAAAATATTTTATTATTATGATCTCATCTATAAGAATGTGAAAATAAGTTACAAAAATACCCTGCCATGCCAGATTTTGTTTTTTGCTCCATTAGTTATTGTTTTTAATCTATTTAAAAAAATATATTTTTTTTTTAAGATTGTGAATGACCTCCGTGAAAAAATATTGAATTTAAAACTGACTAAGAGGGCTGCCACAAAGGATTATTCTCAATCAACTTCTAATCAATCAAATTCAAATTCTCCTGAGGCATGTTGTTGTTTCTTCTTGAAAAAGCCAGTAGAAAAAATATTAATTAGGTAAACATATTAGTCTATATTTTTAAACTGTGTTGGAAATGATTGTATTTGGCTAAGCGTATATGCATATTTGAATGGCAGCTGCCATCATATATATATATATAAGTCAGCTCTTATTTCTATTACTATTTCAAGTTAATAACATTGGGTTCTAATGAAAGTTTTCCTATATCACAAATATTGTCTGTGCAAACAGTTCACATTGTTGTGTTTAATCATATTTTGTCAAATGATTTTTGGCATTTGAAAGAACTAGACTCTTTAGAATAGGGGTCTTCAACCAGTGGCCCGCAGACCACGAGTAGCCTGCTGAAGGCATTTTAGTGGCCTCACATTTCAGTTTGAAGAAAAACTGAAGAATTTAAAAAAACTTTGATTTCAAGAAAAATTGCCTTGTCAGCTTTTTGTTGTAAAAAAAATTCATTTTCTCTTATTCTTGATATTTAAAACATTTTATTGACATTCCTGATATTATTTGAGATAAAATTTTTAAAAATGACAAGGTTTTAAAAAATTTCACTTTATCTTATATAATATTAAAAATTTGACTACACGTAAAATCTCAATTCCATGAAAAGGGTAGATTCTTATCTCTGTTGTAAAAGTGGTTAATTTCATTCGGTCTAAAGGACTTAAACGCAGGCAATTTCAAAAATTCTTGAGTTATCTGGAAGCTGAATGTGGTGACATTGTGTATAATGCTGTAGTACGTTTGTTGGAGCCAAGGAAAGATGCTTCAGTACATGTTTTCTTTGAAGAGCAAAGTTCAACAATTCATGGAATCTAAAGAAAAGTCTATTTATGTTCTATTTTATTATGAAAAGTCTATTTTATTATGAAAACAAAAAAAAAATATTTTATTATGAAAAAAGTCTATTTTATTATGAAAAATGGTTGAGAGACTTTGCATTTCTTCTCAGTATTACAGGTCATCTCAATGATTTGAACTACCGCTTACTAGGAAAAGATCTACTTCTCCATAATCTTTATTACTTTGTGAAAGCTTTTGAGATATTAATCAATCCTGTGGGAAAATCAGTTGCTAAATAAGAATTCTAACTCACTTTCCAAAATTGAGGGAGTGTGTGTCTATAGCATGAACTCTACAACATGAAATTCAAATAATTATGTACAATGCTTTTCAAAGTTGAAAGAGGAATTCAAAAGCAGATTTTCCAATTTTCATTAAAATGAAATGTTCATGAGAATGTTGCCATTTTCAGTAGACGTTGGAAGTGTTCCACCTTAACTTCAATAAGAATTAATAGATTTATAGTGCGACTCTGCAGTAAAATGCAAGTTTCTAGAAAATCTTGCATGAATTAATTTTTATTTGAAGTACGTGACCAAAGACAAGTATCCAGGAATTCATAAACATGCACTCTTCATGTTTTATAACTTTGCAGTACTTACATATGTGAACAACTTTTTAGTAAAATGAAAATCCTAAAATCAAGAACAAGAACATGGCTGATAGACGTTGAAGGAAACTTTACAAATTGCAATAACACAGATTAAACAGATATTGAAGCTTTAATCAAGGAAAAAAAAATGTCAAATTTCACATTAAAACTAAAGTAACTACCATCTCCTGCCAGTAATGTAAGTTTTTTTTTTTTTTTTTTATTGTAAATGCATTTAACATCATTCTCTGCAATCATCTTTATACTTTTTTTCATAGTTAAAATGTTGCAAAACATTTTAATTCGATTTCCATTTGACTTTTTGGAACCAATGTGCATATATATATATATATACAAATGTGTAACACAATCTCTTCGCTTAGAATCAATTGTAGTCTTGCAAAACAAACCTACCTTTTTCATATAAATTTTCTGACTACACTATTTTTTGACAGAAATGTGGCTTGCATATCTTTGCAAATTTATTGATGTGGCCCTCGGGCGAAAAAGGTTGAAGACCCATACTTTGGAACAATGTGTTTTGAAATTTGTAAAAAAATATTGATATCATTAAGTGCTAGGTGACTGAAATGGAACTGTCATGCTACCATATTAGAACCATCATTTACTTCCAGTTCTGTTACAAAAAGTCAGCTACAAAATATCCCTAAATCATGTGTATAACTTTAGGTACTAATGTTGTATCATATAACACTGTGAAGGTTTAGTACTAAAAGTTGGAAAAACAAGAACTATGACATTCAAAAAGTAGAGCAGTTCTCTGGCAGGCCTACTGATGTTGATGAGGAAACTGAATTAATTCACTATTCTACTAAGTTTCAAATGTAAACAAATATGCTATGGGTGGGAAAACAAATTAAATAATAAAAAAATCTTTTTAAATAAATTTTTTTTTTTTTTTTTTTTTTTTTTTTTTGCTATGGTAAAAAAATTTAGCTTAGCCACACTTAAACAGCTGTTAAATTATTAATAATTCTACAACTAACATAATTCAATCGTTTTTAAAGCAAAAATGCACAATTTACCAACATATAAGAATAAAAAACTGAGCTCATGAAGCCGAGTAAAGAGTGGTTGTATGTATACAAGGTGACTAAAATTAAAACACCCCTACTCTGAGCTCTTTATGCATCGAACTACTGAGTGTAAAGGCTCCAAAATTCTTAAACATACTATTCAAGACATGGGGAAATGGATTACATGAAAAAATAACACCCCTACTCTGAGCACCCCTACTCTGAGCTCTTTATGCATCGAACTACTGAGTGTAAAGGCTCCAAAATTCTTAAACATACTATTCAAGACATGGGGAAATGGATTACATGAAAAAAAAAAAAAAAATTAGTTCCAGAAACACTGATAGGTGGCGCTGTACAACAGAACATATGCTGAAAAAACAGAAAATACACTTTATAACACATTTTATTCAAACGTACCAAACATTCATGTCACAAAGACCTTATCGATGCAAGGGAAGCTGCTCAATATGGTTTACTTCTTCAAGATGTAAAATCTGCAGTCTGTGGACAGCTTGTTCAACTGTGGATCGTAATTGGTCGATTGTGATGCTTCTCACATGCAGAGTGATACTGTCTTTTAAATCTGCCAAAGTTACCAGACGTTGTCAATAAATTATACAAGATTTTTTAAGCAACCCCACAGCCCAAAATCATATGGATTAAGATCTGGAGAATGAGATGGCCAGAGACCGAAATTGCATTTGCAATGACAGTTTAAGTTTCTTAACTTTTTGTGTTCGTTTTTTTTTTTTTTCATATCAGCAATAGAAATTAAAAAGGAAAATTTCCATACCTCATGTTTGATTTTTTTTTTTTTTTTTTTTTTGTGGTTATTTTTGCCTTTTCAGCATATTTTCCATTGCAACGCCACCTATCAGTGTTTCTGGAATTAATTTTTTTTCACGTAATCCGTATCCGTTTCCGTATGTCTTGAATAGTATGTTCAGCAATTTTGGGGCTTTTACACTCAGTAATTCAATGTATAGAGAGCTCAGAGTAGGGGCGTTTTACTTTTAACCACCTTGTATATATATATGTATATTTATATACTTTTGGTGCAGCTGATTGCAACCAAAAAGGGAGGTGAGCAACTGCATCTTATAGCAGTCCTATGTACAAAATTTCAACATTCTGAGGTTACTCATTTTTGAGTTATGCAAGATATATATGTATATACATACTACATACAGACTTCACAAAAAAGTCTCTTTTGAAGCCATTTTAAATCCTTTTTGCAACCCCTTTTTGGGAAAAAGAATCCTTTATTCTCTACTCATGTACAAATGTTTATAGTTAAATTACAGTGCGGTCAAAATAGATATTTTTGTTAAAATATGATATCCCAAAATTTTCTGAGTACAATACTTCCTTTGCTTCATACAAGGAAGTAAAAAATGTGTGTAACTAGTTCAAGAAATCTGGAAATTATCATTGTTTTACAACGAAATGTATTCTTTAACCCTTTCAGGATGGGCGTCCCATATACACATTCCCTAAGAACATCTCTAACAGCCGGGCGTCCCATCCACGCATCACTAGAGATTGCATTCAGAGGACGGGTGATGCGTATACACATTTAGAGCAGGAACGTATTTCTGAAGGCCACTAGATGGCATCTTATGCCCATTACTTTTGAAATGAACACAGTTTTAGGTTCCTGACCTTGAGTTTGATATATTCTGCTTGACTCTGGTATTTTACTCATCAGCTCTTGCAAAAGGGGAAGGGAAAGCGTAAACAGAGGTGAGCTCTTTAAATCGGTGCATGCTAATGAAAACATTCACTTGTCTGATTTATGTCCAATTCCTTTTTTTTCCTTTACTATGGTACGGTCTTTTAGGGTTAGTAAGTGGAGTACAGTTACGTTTTGCATTGCCTTCAGATATATTTCCGTTTCTTCTCTTTTTATTTCGGAAAGCCTCACCTCCAGTCTATTATGGCAGGAAGGTGCTATTTATCAGAAAAAGAATACCCTGGTCAATGAATCATTTACTAATGCAGATGAGAGTGATGGTTCATTTTCTAAAGAGTTAGAAAGTGATACTTTTTCTAAGAGTTAGAAAGTGATACTTCTCTGAGATTTATCACAGTCTTCATTTTAAATTTTGTTTACTTCTTACTGTAAAAGTCTTTATTGTGTTGTTTTATCAATTTTAAATTTTTATTGATGGATTTTATCAATTAAAACTTAATTTGAATAATTTGAATAGTGCTTCCAAAAATTATTTTACAAGATAAGCAAATTTTTAAGTATATTTTTATATAAAATAAAGAAAAAAGTTATTAAGTGCTAATTCTGACATATATAAAAGCTCAAGTAATAATCTAAAATGATATGAAAAATTACAATGCTAGAAGCGAAACTTTTTTTTTTCTGATTTTTTTTAATATAAAATTAGGCTTAGAGATGCAAAACCTCCGTCCTGTACGGTGACTGCCTTCGATTCCCTTCCGTCCCGCATGAGTGTCTTAAACAAAGGTTGCACCGTCGCGAAAGGGTTAATTAACAGATAAATGTTGTAGGATTCAAAAGTTCCCAGACTGAGTCTATAATGTAAAAATGTTTTGCAGTAGTGCGACTACAAGAATGTTTTTGTGTTACTACATTCTCCCCCTTTTCTTAACCCATTTATGCCTACTGTTCCATTTTTTTGGTCCCAAATCACGTGGTTGACAGCTCGCAGTGACAGCGTTTTTTGTACGCAGGTGCATTTAGTAACCGGTGATTGAAAGAAATGGCGTCAGTTGAGCAGAGAATCAATATCAAATTTTGTGCTTGATTGGGAAAGATTGCTACGGAGGCTTTCGAAATGTTGCAGTATGTGTATGGAAGTGAAACGTTATTGAGAACACAAGCTTTTGAGTGGCATCATCGTTTCAGAGAAGGCAGAGAAAGTGCCGAAGACGACGAATGCTGTGGTCGTCCCATGACTTCCTGCACCGATGAAAACATCAAAAGGTGTCTGTGGTGGTATGTGCACACAGGCAGAAAGCAATTTGCCAAATAGCAGAATCAGTTGGGATATCAGAAGCCACATGTCAGCGGATACAGACTAAGGATCTTAACGTGCATAGGGCGGGTCAACACATTTGTTCCCCACATGTTAAACATAGACCAAAAAGGAATTCGAATAGAAATGGTGGGAGATTTAATCTTGGCTGTTGACAAAGATCCTTTTCTACTTGGCAGAATTGTTACTGGAGATGAGAAATGGTGTTTTTTGTACGACATACAAACCAAGAGAGCTTCGGCAACGTGGAAATTACTGCAATCTCCACGAAAGCAGAAATTCCAAGATCGCTCTAAAGTAAAGGTCATGCTAGAAGTATTCTTTGATATCCAGGGCATTGTGCATCTGAAATTTATTCCTGAAGGATGCATTGTGAACAAAGAACTCTATGCCAAAACCCTGTGTCGTTTGCAAGAGTTGTTCTGGAAGAAGAGACCAAAAATGTGGGCTGAGCAGTCATGGGTGCTGTTGCATGACAACGCTTCTGCTCATCGATCCCTACTCGTCAATGACTTTCTTGCGAAAATGAAAACAACTGTTTTGCCTCATCCTCCTTACTCACCTGATCTGGCACCCTGCAATTTCTTCCTATTTTCTGAACTGGCAAGATGCTTGCAGGGTCATCGATTTCTATCTTCAGATGAAGTTAAATGTGCATCGCAGGCTGAATTAAAGGACATGGCCAAAATGGATTCCAGACATACTTCGATGAACTTTATAGGCACTGGCAAAAGTGTGTTGTTGCACAAGGGTCTTATTTCGAAGAAGGATGTGTTTCTGCAATTTTAATTCATAATATTTTTTAGCAGACTGAATTAAAGGACATGGCCAAAAATGGATTCCAGACATACTTCAAATAACTTTATAGGCACTGGCAAAAGTCTGTTGTTGCACAAGGGTCTTATTTCGAAGAAGGATGTGTTTCTGCAATTTTAATTCATAATATTTTTTACATTATAGACTCAGTCCGGGAACTTTTGAATCCTACCTCGTATATGGATATTTATCTATCAACGGATATTCAGTCTGCCTTAGCAAATGTAGGTACAGCTTAAAAATATTTGAATTCTCTTAAGTAATATTGTATTTGAATATTACAACATAATGTCTCAAATATTTCTAGATGAAGAGTATTTTATTTGTAAATATATGTACAATTAAAAAAGTTAGTTTAAACTTTTAAAATAATGATTTATTCAGCTGATAATAGTTATCAACATATATTTATTCTAGCTTCTTAAATGGGATTTTAGTATTATACTTACAACTCCTGTATTTTGAAAGTTTGTAGAAAATGTAAAGCATTTCTATTTGAAGTGTAAAAAATTAATATCAAGTCACCTTCAAAGTTACATCCATTAGTAACGTCCACCACAAACATTTCTTCAGTGTTTTTGACATTCCTGGTCACATTGGTAGAATGCCTTTTCTGGTATCTATGCAGTGACGTAGCCAGACTTTTTGCCATTGAGGGATCTGTTTGCTGCCCTAAAAATTACATAAAATGTCAAAACAACATATAAAAAAACAAGTAAGAACTATGTGATTATTTTTGAAATCGTAAATTCCAACATTCTAAAGTATTGTTTTCTGTGGGCAAAGTTATTGATATCATTTTAAAAGTTTGTTTCATTACTTCAGTTGTTATTAAATAAGATTTTTAAATGCAAGGTACTCATTCGTGGTTGTGAGATGCTTACAACAGTCATGAGGAAAATTCACAAAAATATTAAAATATTTGGAACTGTATTCTTAAGAATTTACTTTAGAACAATTCAAAGCAACCCTTCTATACTTCTTTTATCTTTCTAAGCAGAATAGAAATAAAATTCTGAAATATTTCTTTCTCAGTAAAGAATTCTTCCTTGTTTATATGATTGTGATCTTAATTTATTTGACATTCATATTTTTCATTAAAAACCTTTTTTTTGGAATGTAGAAGACATAGAAAGAACATGAAGCTGTTGAAATCACACTGTAGTTTCATATAATACTTTGTGCAGCATAGAGTAAATTCTTTCTCAATTAAATTGTTTATCATAATTCAGTATCTCTTGATTTTTCGTTTCAGTGTAATTAGAATGGTTAAGATGGCTGCTAACTCGTAATCTGGGGGGGGGGGTTGATCTGATAGTTTGATCCCCAAAACAGGTTGGTTGTGTGAGATTTTCACAGTTTACCCCATGTATTATGTAGTATATACAATATTATAGTCACACATGGCTTGACATGAATATGAGCCAGTGTCGTTTTTAAAACATAATATAAGCAAATTTCTAGCTTCTGAAGGCTTTGTGGAAAACTTTAGTCTTCCACGAAGGCAGCCCTCCTCTTAAGCAGACAACCATAGTGAGCTCTGCTATAACCCAGTAAATCACAATCTGTTTTTCTGTGCTGACAGTCCCTATGACTAATGCCTATAAAATTTTGTTTCAAATGAAAAACATTGTCCCCCAAAATCTACCACCTGAGGCAGACAACCCCTTTCACCTCTCTCTAGCTTTTCCACTGTATCTATCATACATTGGAGTCATTGAATTATTTTATATAGCTTGAATTATAAGAAAATGTTAACCCCATAAAGTTACCCTATTAAGAGAGAATAACAAGGTCAAAAGGTAAGGAATCTGGCAAATCAATGTGGCTATGGCATGACATTGTCATACTTTATCTTGTCATTAGTCTATACAAATGAAGAACTTTTTATTAATCAATATTTGTTTCCTTAATCATTCTTGTATTGATTTTATTATTTTCTGATATTTATTAGATATGAGAAACTTCCATCAAATTTCCTGATCTCTGTTCCTGATGCTCCTTTTGGTGCTCGAGGAGTGCCTTTAGCTCAGAAAATTTCAGATGCATATCTTTGTGCTGATGCTTTAGTCACATTGAGCAAATATTTACAACAACAGAGGTGGATCTGGACTTTACAGTATGAGCCAAACACGTCTTTACAATTGACGTCAGCTTCTAAGATATTATATACTCTTACAAAGTAAGAAAATACTTCTTCCACCCTACACTGATTTTTATTATGATTTTCTGAAATTTTTGTTTTTATATTTTAATTGTATGTTTTATGCAAAATCTGCCATGTCATCAAATTTATATAAGTTGACTATACACAGTATAACATAAAAAGTGATGCATGAAGAAGGAGTATCTTAATGGGACGAAATTGTGTATGCCTGTACCTTTTGATAGAATATGCAAATGCTTAGCTTTTGGTGGGAAGTGATGGACTAAGACTAATGAGTTCCAGCGCATTACAACAGAGCATCTGGAAGATGTATGAAACTGAGGACATTCCAACAACAATGCATAATTCCAATAATCAATGCAGATGTAGTTCTGTCGACCCTCTCGTGGAGTCTACCAGTACCCTGCAGATAGGTTCAGAATGATATGAGCAGATGCCACCATTTGAGAGAGGATGTGAAATTGGACTAAAGGAAGTAGGGTGTCAAATTACAGATTGCTAGACATTTGAGCCAGAGCAATGCTACCATTCGACAATGCTGGCAGCACTAGGCCATACAGAGCATCAAGATGGTAGTGCCGACCGAGAATGACAGCAGAGCATGAGGAGAATGTTCATCCATTTGGCACACACAGCTTTTGGTGTATCCTTATTAATAATTCGATGTGTGACTGGGACACCAGTTACTGCAATGACCATTGATAGGTGACTCAGCAAATATGGGCTACTGTCATAGAGGCCCCTACACCATTGCACATCAAGACACATTTGCAATGGTGCTGGATGTTTTCAACCTGATATCTTATGGATGGAGTAGAATTATTTTCAGCTATGAGTCACTTCAATATGAGTGCTAATGATCTGCGAAGATCTGTTTAGAGATGTCCAGAGCAGCAGTTGGAAACTTGTCTGATTGTCATCTGCCTCACGGTTCGACAACCAGGAGTTATAGCATGATGTGTAATTTCAATTGATAGCCCTTTGATTGTCATCCATAACATCCTTGCAACATGGCAGTGTGTTGACGAAATTCTACACCCTATAGTGTTTCCCTTCCTTTCATGTACCCTTGGGTTATATTTCACCAGGATAATACCTGGCCGTACGTAGCATACATTTCTGCTGCTTATCTTCATGTTTCTTCATCATTTCCCTTGCTAGCAGGATTGCCAGATCTTTCTCCAATCGAGATCATTTGCGATCTGATGAGCAGTTGTCTCCAACCATCCCTGTATCGTGCCGATCTAACTCCTCAATTAGAACATGTATGGCAAAGCAATTTCACAGGAGGACATCCACCAACTCTGTAAGTCAATGCCTAGATGGATAACAGCTTGCATTAAAGCCAGAGAGGTTTTTTGCTTTTATAGCTGTATTTCCTGAATAAAAATTTTAATTGCTATGATGTTTCATGTTTTCTATGTGTATGCCATATTTACTGATTTTTGTCATGTTTGAATAACTCCCTTTTGTTTATCTTTTATGTTATAGTGTATATAGTTTTGTATATAGTTTTAGTTGAATTTATGTAATATTAATAAATCTTATATCCTATATAATCTATTCTATGTAATATTTTTTTCTTTTAAGAATTTTTAAGTATGAAGAGTTTAATGAAACTGCATGAATTTTTCAAAAATAATAAAAATTACTTCTTAACTGCCGCGGGCGTATATATACGCCTTGCTCAGCCGATGCGTTAACTGCCCCAGATGCGCAGCCGATGCGTTAACTTTGCGAATAATTTTAGGTGTAGCAGCGCAAAGCAAATGATAGCAGTTTGGAAGGACGTATATATACGCCTGGGGCAGTTAACGCATCGGCTGAGCAAGGCGTATATATACGCCCGCGGCAGTTAAGGGGTTAAGTTGGCTTGTAAGAGAAATTAAATACATCTAATTTCAAATCAAAGAACATTTATGAAGCATAAACTATTTTAGCCATTTTAACTTGAATCATCACATGTATTGTTTTCAAATTATAAAAAATTGCATTTTTGAGAGTGAAATACATATTATTTTTGAAATCTAAAGCTGTATTTTTCAGGAAAAAAAATATATTTTCAACTAATATTTAAATTAAAGTATAGATATTTGCTTTATAGTCAGTTAGTAGAATGTTCATTGATGAATTATATTGAATATAAAAGACATAAAGAATTATATTGCTATAAAAGACTGTATAATGAAACATTAAGTCTTAACACATAACATTCTTCTTTAATAAAAGGTTTCACTAAGGATAAACATTTACTCTTGCACCTGTATAAAAGGTATAATAGTTATTTGTACTGCTTATTAGGTTTTGAAAGTTTACCATATTTGTAATACTTTATGGTGGATAAAAACCAATGAATGAAATTTGGTTACATTGATTAGGTTTTATTTGGATGTTCTTTATTTCTATTTGCATTTAATTTCATTTTGAATATTAAATTTTAAATAATCAAAAAAATCTTTTGGACAGCTTAAAGTATATAATTTGTTTACTATATAATTGTTATTTAAATATTCCTTTTAGTATTCGACTTCAAGAAGGCTTCCACTTTTCCCATTCTGCTTTTGGTATAATCTATATGGTTCAAGAAATTCCTGTGCAAGTAAGTCTAGATTACAGTCTAATATGAGCGAAATTTTTCTTGAAATGCACATTTTTAAAACAATAAAAACATTTTTAATAGGTTCCTAAAGCTAGGTCTTCAGAAGCTGAATCTGATTTTGAAATTGAAGAAAATTGCTGTGTTGTTCAATACATCATGTTTCCCCCTCATACAAATACTACTCTAAAAGACAGGTTAGCTCTTATTTTAGTATATTTTGATTTTGCACTTTGAAGTATTGCATCAGTATTTCTAAGTTTTTTTAAATTAATTTTATTGTCTATTTTCAGATTAAATGTAAGTATCTGTTATTTGTTGTAAAACATTTTATAGCCTCGAAATTTCACAACAAATTAATAAAAATAGAGAGCAAAATGATTCTTCTTACCTTGTATCCAGCGCAGTTTCAAGCAAGATCATACCTAATTAACTTGTAATCCAAAATAGGTGTAGATGGAAATTGTAAGATCACAAAACACATTCTTTATTAATACATGAAAATAGATAAAAAATTTGTTAGTATTCCAAATACATATTGTAAAAGGAGTTATGTTATATTGTCATATCACTGTCCTTTCCTGAAGTCCTTTCGGACACATTCTTTATTAATACATGAAAATAGATAAAAAATTTGTTAGTATTCCAAATACATACTGTAAAAGGAGTTATGTTATAGTGTCATATCACTGTCCTTTCCTGAAGGAGTGAGAAAAGTAAGTGTAAAGAATAAGCGAGATACACAATTAACTCTTTTGCAGGGTTTCCAGTTCATACAGTTTATCGCGCTATTGGTGACAGTCCATCACTATATGCATACCAACATTATTAAATAATTATTACTGAAATTTTCATCATATTTTATTGTTTTATCCCCTCTTTGTAAAAGCTGCATATAGCTTATATATAAATACTGAAGATACATGTAGAATATGTATAGATATTTTAATATATGTACATATATACCATGTATGAATGTTTTAGTATGTACATATATAGCCGTATTGTACAAACTATAAGATGCATTTTTTTCTTCAATAAATTGCCTCCCAAATTCAAGGGCATCGTATACTCAGAATGAATATAAAAATGTCCAGTATTTAATTCAAAAATGATTCAAATACACGCTTGTAAGCTAGCTCTACAGTGGACTTTAAGGGTGGAGTTGCTTGGTGCTACAGGTTTATGAAGCGTCATGGACTTGCAAACCAAAACCAAAATATCTCAGAAAATTCCACAAGAGTATAAAGAGAGTTTATCTTTCCATTGCTTTATTATTCAACATCGAAGAAAATCGGTGGGGAACTAAGCCAAATAGTGAATATGGATGACTCAAACATTTGATGTTCCGAGTAAAACAGCGGTTGTCATGAAAAGTTCCAAAACTGTAACTATAAAAGCAAGTGGATATGAAAAAATGCATTTCACTGTTGTCCTTTCATGTTGTGGTGATGGTACTAAATTTAATGCAATGATAATTTTCAAGTGCAAAACAGTGCCCAAACCTTCTCAAATATTGGCAGGTGTTGTTGTTCACGTACACGACAAGGGATGGATAGATGAGTTTTGGTATGAAATTATAAATTAACAGAGTGTGGCAGAGAAGAAAGGTTTATTGAAGAAGAGTTCTCTTCTTGTGCTAAATAAGTTTAGTAGTCATTTGAAAAACTCTGTGAAAGAGAAATTGCGGCAGGGAAATACAGATCTTGCTGCTACTCCAGGAGGACTTACTTCACAATTACAACATCTTGATGCCTCGATAAATAAACCATTCAAAGTGTATATGACAGAGAAATGGAACAAATGGATGATGGATGAAGCCCAACATGAATTCACGCGGAAGGGAGCTTTAAAACGACCTGTGGATGAAACAGTCATGGTCTAGAGTAAAAGAAGATATTATTGTGAAATCTTTAAAAAAGTGTGGTATAAGTAATTCTCTTGATGGCAGTGAAAATGGTCTTATATGTGAAGAGGACAACGATGGCGATGAAGAGGAGAAAGTAGAAAGTTCAGATGGCGATTTCATGAATTTTAAAGGTCAGTTTGGTTTTATAAATTGAATTTTAGTCTGGCTTTACAGTCTTATAATAAAAATAGTAAAAATGTCATTTAAAAAAAAAATCTGTAAAAATTAAGGTGCGTCTTATAGTCTGTAGTGTCTTATAGTCTGTAAAATGCAATATATATTTTGCTACTGTGCTTCTGGTTTTTTTGTTTTTGCATGTGATTTATTCCGAATTGAATATGTGATCAATTTTAAATCAGCTCGCAATTGGATTAGATTTTGAATGTTTTTCACTTTGTATTTACTCATTTATATATATATATATATATATATATAGAGAGAGAGAGAGAGAGAGAGAGAGAGAGAGATGGATAAATTGTTGTTGTTTTGACTTGTATCAGTACTCTAGCCTAATCAGAATAAGTCCATGATTTTTATAATAGGAAGGAGAGAAAGATTGCATCTGTCATTACATGAACCCTGAACACCATATAGGTGAAAGTATGTCTTTTCCCAGCTCCACACCACGTTTGTTGGAGATCATTCAAAGGAAATGGATTCAAAGATCCCCATCCCTCTTTCCCTACCACCAAACTACTTGAGAGGACTTTCAGCTCATTGTGTATTTTGAGTGCCCTCATGCCTTCTTTGGGATTTGAAACTGAACTAAACATAAATAAACTATACAGCAGCCAAGAGCACTAACCACTGTACCGATTGGGTGGCATAAATATGTGTATACACATGCAAAAGATTAAATTAGCTGTGTAAATTAATTTCCCTTCTCTATTTTAAAAATAATAATTTCTCTGCTGATTTAAAATTGTATCATTTTGAGATTAATCCATGTCATATGACTCTTACATAATTCTGGTGTTGTAAGTTGAACTAAAACAGCCAATAGTAATTTTAAAGCAGTATGTATTATCCAATCAAAATGCATTGAGAATCAAAACTAACTTCAGTCTGAAAAGATTTCACCCTGAACATAATATACTTGCTTTCTACGCTTTGGCCTAGCTGGACTGCAGTCTGCCTGCTCCTTCTATATTACTGCAAATTTATCTCAAATTTAAACTTTTTGGAATATGCAAAATTAGTGAGTGTGCTAAGTTAATTGTGGCCACAACGTGTTTGCTGAAATAAAAAATGAAGGTTTAATCTACCTTTGCCTACAATTTCCTAGTCATTATGGATCAACACTTCTATGCCATCTAAATTCCTGCTGGTCATTACTTCTGAATTTGTTTGTATCATATATATATATGTAGTTTTAGTTCACACACGCACATACATACATAGTGTTGCAAAATGCCCTGTGCCGCTGTGTGTTAAGATACCCTCCCTGTAAAACGGGTCGAAAACGAAACTTCTGTAGTGGAGTGGAGATAGAAGTTTGCCAGCTGAGCAATGCGAGTCAACGGCAGGCTTAGGGTTGCCAGATTTAGCATGAAATCACCCATTTAGTGACAAAATTGCTGATATGTCATAGACTGAACAGTCTAGAATGCATTTTTAGCAGTTTTCTTGGGAATATTCTCAAAGGTAGGTTAAATATACCATCCATGTACAGGAAGAACATAGTGTCTTGAATTCAGAGATTAGGTTGAGAGCGATAACCGAGTTAGGAGCTGTATTTTAGTGCTTTGCCGTTAAGTTGTCTTCACTGTTATAGCCTGAAAGCTGTGTTGCTGATTCTTTCAGCATATTTTTCGTAGTTTTTTTATGAGTATAAATGTATCTTTGGAACTATCCTGTGTAATTCTTCTTACTTGTGAATAAATTGTGTTTTGATACTTCATCAAGTGTTATCATCAGTTACTCAATCCATAAACCCATAGAACGCAACAATAAGTATACGAACACACATATATACATACATATCACATAATATCCTTAAGTTATGTCTTCACCTTGATTTTCAAGAAGCTATATAAGGAAAAAATATTTACTTGCAAAATCTTTGCACCACTTCCGTGAAGGAAAAATTTGATCACGTAATTATAGTTTGGGAAAAGGTTTTGTGTTTGAATGTGGGGAAAAGGATGGATGGACTGCAATTTTGTTATGAAAAATTTATGAATATTATGGAATTTGATGAAGGTGTGGCACAGAATCATCCCCCCCCCGAAAAAAACTAAGTAATGAACAGCTCAGTTGCACTGGATAGAATTAAATATATAGTAAAATAAATGCTTCCGATAGCATATATTTATATATATACTATATATGTATGTATGCTTTTGAGCAACGCAAATTGAAAAATCTGTTTAAGTAATGTTTAAAAATTGCTGCTGAGTACATTTGCTGTACGTACATTCTAAACAAAACAACTCAAAGGTTGGTAGGTATGTATGCAAAAGTTTTATATTTGATGTATAAAGCATTTATTTGCTGATATTTTTATTTGTCATTCTTATACATATTTTGTCCTTCAAGGATTATCACTGGTTTTTCATGAAAGAGTAAGAGCAAATTATTGCACTTAGAATCTGATTCATTGTTTTAATATCGGTATCCAAGAATCTGCATAAAAATTTTTGGATAAAAAGTGCAGATGTTACATTAGCATATGTGGTATTACTGAAAATATTTTTATGTGTATTTAGAATGCCTTAGTATTTTCAGTGTAGTTTATCATTGATTTAGAATGATTGTTAAATTCATAATCATATTATTTTTCAGTATATCTGAAGAAGATGATACTGAGCTTACTGAAGCTGATGGAGAGCTTCAATTGATAACTGAATGTTGGGTTGAACCACAGTATGGGATTTCAGTCCTTCCTTCAAAACTTAATTATTTAAATGGCTTGACATTTGAAGAAATTTCACAAGCTGTGAGTTCAGTATTTAAAAAAATATTTAAATAAGGAAAGTATCATTAATATGTTGGGGAATTTTAGATAAATTTATTATTTTTTATCATATGTTTTCCCATTTCCACAATGATAAAATTTAGTGTTACTAAAAAGACAAATTATTATATGCACTTTTAAAATAATATGCAAATCAAACATTGGAAAATGATTAAAATAATGTAAATATTTATAAAGGCAATACTAGTAAAATGGATAATCATGGGAATATTATCACTAAGTTTATTACAGCCAATTATTAATGAAATGAAGGCTATTTGCCATATTCCTAAAACTTTTGTATAGGAAATTATTGCATTATCTTCCACAGCTGTGTAAAATAAATTAAAATTTCAACATTAATGGAAAAAATGAGTTTTATATATGTTCATTGGTTCTTAGGGTAAATTTAAACTGCCTTCGTTATTATAAGAAATGCGAACTTATAGCAATTCACATTAGAATTTATTTAGATTTGGTCACTATCTTGTTTATAAAGGTCATAAGTCAAAGACAGTTTGTTTTGATGTCTGCGCAATATTTTATGCTATGGAACATGTACTTAACTTTTTCCTTCTTCCACCCCTTCTCCCTGATTTTAAAAATCATCTTTTTTACTTCCTTGTATGAAGTAAAAAGGAAGTATTGTAATTGCGAAAAATTTCATGCATCATATTTCAACGAAAATATCCGTTTTGACCGCTATTGAATGCAATTTAATGATGTTTTTGCATAACATCTGTACCTAAGGACAGAATAAAGAACTCTTTCCCCTTCCCCCCCAAAAAAAATCATAAAACTGATTTAAAATTAATTCTGAAGAGAAATTTTTGCGAGATACGTACATCTGTGCGTATGTACATACATATCTCGCATAACTTAAAATTGAGTAGCCTCAGAATGTTGAAATTTTGTATATAGTATTGCTATAACATGTAGATGGGCACTTTCTATTTTGGTTGCAATTGGCCTCACCAAACGTAGATAAGTATATGAATATATATATATCCACTCTGTTACTCAGCTCAGTAATCTGTTTTTTTATTCTTATATGTTTGTAAAATGATTGAATTATGATGTTCTTATCTTCCTGTTAAGGTTTTTATGCCTTTAGTAAATCTGAATCCAATATTTTTTGAATTATCAACAATTCAAAAAATCAAGTTGTTTAAGTTTCACTAAGCCTATGGCAGCCATTGCTTTTTTACATTTGAAACAGCAGAATAGTAGATTTGTTGCTAATTTACAGAAAGTAAGTTTCGCAATAACAAAGATAACGTCTCCTTTTATTATTGTGAATTAAATTATTCTTAATCCATTTTGGAATTTATTAAAAGAAATAATTTTTTTTGAGATATTTTGAGTTTTTATGTATTTTTGCCTTGTCGGAAAGTGAAAACTGGATTAACTGAATGAGAAATACTGAATCATCTGTGAAAAACTGTTTCTTTATTGTTTTGTTTGTTTAATTTCTTTTATACATCGTTTTAGATTTATTATAGTATTTGGATAGAACATGTGGCAATGATTAGATAATTCTTAAAATGATATAAATTTCGTGCATTTTGAATTAAAAAATTAAAACCGGCAAAGTTACATAGTGCAATAGTTTGGTATATATTAGTGTTTAAGTCTAAAAAATGAAGGAAATGTAATGCTTTTAAGTGGACCTAGGGCCAGAGAGTAACAATGGTAAACAAATATAGTGAATTTTAAAAAGTACATTTATTCTATTGTGGTGTATGCGCTATTGACGAAATAAATTTAATTCAATCCAATAAGTTTAAATGAAATGCAAGGAAAAATGCATATAATTTAATATTCCGTACAAGGAAGTCGTGGTGTACGCATTATAAAATTTATATCATTATCAAAAAACAAGGATTTTTGTTACCGGAATAGAAAGTACTAGGCAATGCTCTGTTAGGAAGGTGTCCATATTATTTGTCCTTTCAGCTTAAATTTCCGATGATTTGAAGATGTAGAAAATTTGGTATCTATCATAGATGTTATAGTTTATTTATTTATTTATTTTGGTGTATAATGCAAAATTTCTATATTAAATTAAGTATGAAATTGGATGAAAATAAAAATTAATATATGAAATATTTTTCAGATTAAACAAAAAGATTTTGAAACTATCACTGTTTTGACAACTTTTGAGCATTTATGCCATGTTTGCCAGAAATCTGCAGAGTTATCGCATCAGTCAATTTCTCTTCAGGACAGATGTGTTAGCCACATTTCAGTTGCTAAACCTACAATTTCATTAGCAAACTTTGAAAACACAGAAGCAAATGAAGGAGCTATTCTTTCAAACACATTTACCATCCCTTATTGCTTCAATTTACTAAGTGTTTTACCAAAGTCTTCCCAGACAGAAATAGTTTTCTCAACTCTCCATGAAGGTATGAAAGCATTTTGAATTCTGTATCTGTTCTATTCAGCAGTATCTGTATCTGTTCAGCAATTAAAATTGCTGTAATATGAAAGAAAAGGATTAGCAAAATCATATTTATTTTTCAAATAACTGTATATTAAACTCCTATAATTTCAAACTAATTTTTTAAGTAAATGCACTATATAACACTCACCCTTCTTTTTTTATGAATAAACTTGAAAGATACATGTGCGATGCTCTTATCTTTTGAAGTTCGTCATTTGAAGATTTTTCCCAGGCTTTCTAACAATCATATACTGAATTTACAAGCAATAAGGGGAACAATATTGTGTTGGGAAAATGCTTGAGGGATTAAATAATTCTGCAAGTGTTCAATGCCGGTGTACTTGAGAATGTTTATCTAGAGTTTCGAGAAATCGGGGAATATAATTTGGGGTAAGATTGCACTTCTGACCTGAATGAATTCACGGAATCAGATGTTTTCTTTTTCTGTAGTCATTTAAAGCCGTGATTTTGAAGAAGTGAACATTGAAGGCTTTAAAGTAAACTGCATTTGCTTTAGTTGAAATACAGTTGATCTAGTGTTCCTTTTAGTACATGTGTGGAAGAATAATAAAATCACAGTAATTAATGAGCCTAAGAGTAAATGTGCTTCGCATAAAGGGTAATGAAATGATCTATCCTAGATGAAGGTGTTGCACACTGAGTCCTTGAAAGTTGCCAGAATGAAGTAATTGTAACAAGAAGCAGTGTATGTTTATTTGCCTTAAAGTAGGCAAAAAAGAATCCTAATGAAAGTGAAAACAATAAATAGCTTTGAGTTGGTATAATTGATTTACAGCAGGGAATAATGTAGTTGTACGAGAAAAACCAAGAGTTTCGCAAAGCTTCCAAAAGATTTGTATAACAAATTTGTAAATTTTTGTAAATATGTTATTGACCTACGAAGGCGAAAAAAATTATTTACTGTCACATATTGGAAATATGGATGAAACTCCAGTAATGTTTGATATGATAGGAAATCAAACAATGATGTGAAAGAAACAAAAATGGTTCAATAAAAACAACAGATCACGAAAAATCATGTTTTCTTGCTTAACATTGGCACAAAATTAAAATCCATTCTTATTTTTAAAAGAAAAATATGTCGCTGAAATGTAATTCCTGAAATGACATTTTCATTCTTGTTCATGAGAAAGGATGAATGAATGAAAACAGTGTGAAATTTTGGATTAAATATTTGGGCGAAAGGGTCTTGGTGCTCTAAAGAATCCAGAAAATCTTTTAGTTTGGGACATGTTCAGATCCTATCAAACAGTTAATACAAAGAAATTGTAGAAAGAGTGTAATGCAGATGTGACAGTTATTCCGGATGGATTAACGCCATTAGTTCAGCCTTTAGATGTGTGTTTCAATAATATATTAATAATATATCTTATATTCAAAGAAAATTTAAATGATGGTGGAATATGTCTATGTTAGATAGGTGAAAAAATATTTACTAAAGGAGGTCAAATGCATCATGCCAGTTTAGAAATAGTGTGTGAGTGAATAATTAAAGCACAGAATGAATTTAAACCCACATTAATTCTGAAGTCATTCAAAAAGTGTGGTATAGCTGACAATCTAGATGGAATGGAAAATGATTATTTATTTATGAATCAGTGATTTTTGCCTAATTTTATGCCTTCTATGCTAAAAGAAAAATGTGTTCTGGATTTATAACAATCATATTAACAATTATATTTTTAAAAATATATCAGAACAGTTTCATAAACCAGTAAGATTCTGACCATGTAATAAATGCCAATATGGCAGACTGGATTTTCCATTTAATTATATGATGTTTTTAATACACATATTTTCTTAATTAAGTAATTGGGCTTTTAAATCTAGAGAAAGGATCGTCCAGTATTGGAATTGTATGTTGATACTGATAGGAAGTTGAGAACTGTAGCTTAGAAAAATTAAAATTTTCCATATTCCAGAAGTCTAGCAAAATGGGGTGATAGTTAATGGTTGAAAGTTCTGGTTTTAATTTTGAAACATAGTTAGTTTGCAGCATATTCTCATCTCCCATAAATTTCAGTAGAAGGTAATATATAATTATATATAAAGCGTAATCTAACATAAAAACATTAAAAAACAGATAGACTTATTTATCATTCAAGAAAAAATCTGGCATTTTTAATTTGTGAAAATGTGTGTACATTCTATAATAAAATTATTATTAAAAATCATGAAGTTTCCTATGTTTGTAAGAAACCTATGTGAGCAGTTTTAGTTATGTTTTGTGATAAATATTTTGGAAAAACAAAAGATAAGAAACAACTAGCATTTTAATTTTATTTTATGTACATATTTATTTAATTTTTATGCATATTTTCACAAAATAATGGTGAAATAAAAAATGATATATTATTGTAAGATTTACTAGGGATTTCTGTTGACTAACAGGAAGAAATATTAAAAAATTATTGCTGCCATTTTCCAGCAATAAATGTCTATTAGTTTTCATATAAATTCTCTATTTTTGCCAAAGCAACAAAGATTTTACCAGCTAACTTTTTTTTTTTTTTTTTTTTTTTTTTTGTTAACAGGGTGCATTAAATTTTATGTTTCAAAAGCTAAGCCTGATAACATCTTATTCTTTTAGAAGCAAAATAAATTTTATTCATAATTATTAATGTGAAAATTTGTTTGTATTTTTCTGAGTTTTGTGTGTTTGTTAAAATAAATTTAAAAAAAAATTCCAGTTAAGAAGTTATTTTTATTGTAATTAGTCTGCATTCAATTCATAATTTTAAACTTTGTCTTATTTTTAAGATTGCTGTTTATTTGTTATATCAGTTGTTGTATATGTGTATTTGGTATTTTGATTCTGTAAAGATTTGTAGTTTTAATCAAATTAATTATTTTCCCCCCTTTTCTAGTCACAGGTGAAGCTAAAGAAACTAAACCAAATGCTGTTTTGTTTGATTTTCTTATGGAGAATCTGAAGTTGGTACATGATTTGGATATTGATTTATCTCTACAGGATAGTTGGAATTACTTATTGCATATTCATCACCGAGAACGTGATACTTCAAGTGCTTCACCAGTTCCATTTCCTCATCCAGATTTTCATATTGGAGACTTTTCATTGAAGCAGAACTATTTAGATATGAGTAAATGCAAAGAATGCAAAATTTGTCTCAACCATGTCTCATTAAATGTATCAGATTCTAGTCAACAGCCATTACTTGAGCAGCAGTTTAGAGAGAATCTTATATCCAAATGGAAGTGTTTTGTAAAAGGTTATAAACCCACACAAGTAGTTTTGACGTTCATTCCTAGTTCTTATCAAGATTTAGAGAAATTATTTTTGCAAAATTCAAATTTAAAATTGCCTGTGGACAGTTCAGAAGGCTCAAAGGCAAATATTATCTATGTAGATGAAGATGTATCTTTGAATGCTAATGAAACTGGTATTTCTAAACCTTCTGAATCATTTGATATCTCAGGAAGCTCTGTGCAAGATAATGTTTTTGAGCCAGTTGATGTATCCCATGAGTTATCTTATAACCTTCCTGTTTATGTGTACAATTGTGTATCCTCATCAATTATAAATCAGTTAGTTCAGCTTGAGCAATGTGAAAAAATCAAGGATGCATATGAAAAGCGTATTTTTCAGTATGATCAGTTGTCTGAGGAGAATCCTGATTGGCCATTAGAAAAGCGTTTGTCTCCCATAAAATCTCCTAATAACTCTCCAGATGGTAGAAAATGCAAAAAGGACTGTGATAATTCCCTTTTGAAGGAGCACTGTGCACTTTTAGACAAATCATACTCCAAATCTTTTGTTTATGGAGTATACAGGTGATGAAAAATATTACTTTTTGTTAATTTAAAAAAATTAGTGTTTATTATCAGATATGTCAAGTAATTTTTTTTAATTTAACAAGTAATTTTTAAATAAGTATTTTTTTTTTAAATGTGCCATATGAAGATAAGATGAAGGGGCAAATCTATGAAGTGGGGGTTATTCATATAAAATTTAAACTCTTATTTTAAGGCATGAAATGTGTTTACTATATTTCTAAAATTAATAATTTGGGGGCCTTCGTAATTATGATTTCTGTCATCCCATAAATATGCATCTTGATGAGCTTAACACAAAGGAGAAAATTTCAGAACTAATTTAATTTTTAACATGATTTTTGTTTAACCCTTTAAGAGGCACTGCATTTTGGATATGCTCATGAAGAACTGTATTTAAACAGCCTCTGTTAGCTAAATTTGTATAATTATTTATCTTACTCTCTTTTCATATATTTTATTCATTAAGATGGTACATCTTAAAAGATGAAAGTAGCTGCTAATTATTTTGGAGGATTTGAAAAGGTGCTTGTGTCCAATTTATTAACAATAGTAATTAAATTATTATGTGTAGCACATAAAAGCATCCAAGTAATACATATATAATATTCATGTATATTAGGGTGTTTCATTTTGTAAGGCCAAAAAAAAAAAAAAAAAAGTAAAATTTTTGCAGACTTTGCTTATTTTCCAAGTTTCAGTGATGTAAACGATACACATGCCAAATTTTAAAAAGATTGGATAATATTTAGTGGTTGCACACTTTGATAAATTTTGTAAAAGTAGGAAGAAGCTATGATATTTCTATGTTAGTTACTTTTATTGGGAAAACTAGAAATCACACACTAGAAAACACCATCTTAAAATAATATTAAAACTAGACTCTAAGATTAATAGGTAGTATGATAGGCACAGCATGTGTTTTATTAATCAACTTTGAATGATGCAATTCTTTTGTTTGCTTGGCAAAAACTTTTCTGTGATGCTTTACTGTCCTCAACAAAAATTGTTTTTGTTGTTCATCCCTAACAGTTTTGTTAAACTTTTTTTTATCAATACTACAAAAGAGCAAGTCCTCTTTTGTAGTATCATTGACCACATTAAAAGCTTACACATGGCTTCTTAGAGAATCACTGCAGTGTTCTGTCACATCGTGGGTCCCAACCAATTCAAAGAATGTCATTGTTTTATTAGTAACTAAATTGCTGAACTGTTTTCCTTCAAAAACTAATTTTTTCTTTATGATGATGATTCTTCACCACCAGGATTTGGCGATTGGGGGTGCCCTAAAGCCCCAGTCACACTTTAGAGGGGTAGTATATAAGGTATTTCTCCCGCCTTAGCATGCCTTCATAGTGTAGCGGTCAGCACACTCGACACATATTCGAGAGGTCTGTGGTTCGATTCCCGGCGAGGGCATTGCTCATTTTTCACATCTCCTGCTTTGAAATAGCCTAATGTCTCTACAATCATTTCATTTCCTTTTTCTTTGCAGGTTTGGTTTTTAAACGTTTAGTCATATTCTCCTTATCAAACTGAGTAATACATTCGTTCAAAAATGACAATCCTATGTTTGTTTCTCACAGATAACAAAGTGTCTCTTAGTAACTTGACGTCTGCTTCTAGGTAAGTGCTCAAAAGCTGTAGCATATCCAAATTATTCTTTGGAGCCCATTGACATACAGTTGTCTTATGCCAAAAGTAAACATATACGAAGCTGATAAAATGTCCTGCCTGTTTAATTCCTTTCAATTCTTGTTGAGGAGTATTCAACTGTTTAGTGAAGAGGACAATTTCAAGTGTATATATTGCCTTTCCCATCCACCTTGCGGGATGCAGAGCCCCTGAGATCCTGCAGCTGAAGTTGTTTTGAGACCAACCTTCTGGGTACAGGAGTGAAAGTTGTAATAGCTCTTTGTATTCTTTTTTTGGATGACTTCCATTTTTTAGGAAATTTTGGATATAGTTAACTGTTTTGACTTGTTGTTCTTCTAGGAAGCTTTGAATGGGACTTTCTTCATCCAGAATTGTTGTACATGACTTCTTATTAAAATAAAACCCACAGATTTTGAACTTCTGAAAAATCTGGATGTCAGGACCACTTGATGGTATGCCACAACACTCCTCAAACTCTGCTTTCAGTATTAGTTCAGATATGTGATGATGGAATCTAATCACAGCAATGTTCATCCAAATTCCCATTAAATTCTGGTACATGCCTCTTGGGTCAATCCTGTATTAGATACTGTAGTATCAAAAGTGTACCAATGATATTGTCATGTAGCCCAAATAGATCCATTTTCCAAAGAACTACTTCAGCCATCTGCTCACTAGTGTCTATCAGGGCAACAGGTATGCCATGCAAATGCTCAAAATCTTTGCCAGTCACTAGAACTGCAACTCTATCTTCCAAAGTGTTGACACTCCTATGGGCAACTGAGAACACCAGTTGCAGTTGCTTTCAGTTGCAACAACTATCCCAGTGCTAGACCAAATGAGGATAATTTTCACTTAATTTTCCTCGCTATTTTATTTCTGTTAATTGCCCGAGTTCGGTAAATGGTAGCTGGAGATGTGCAAATTTTTTAAACATTGTGGTGCAGTTGCTGTAAATTAAACAACTGCACCACAATGCTGTTGCAGTTGCTGTTGTTGTTGCAACTCTATGCAGTTGCTGTAAATTAAGAACCTGCTTGCCAAATAGAGAGCTGTTCTGAATACCTAGTAGATGTAAGTGTGTGATCAAGAGGTTTTATTCTAGGACTTGAATAAAATATTTTCGTTGCTGGAGGCGAAAACTTGGCCTCTTCATCACTAGATGCTGCTGATGATGATATACACTGCTCAAAAAAAAAAAAAAAAAAAAAGGAACAGTTCTATATCTCCCGTTCTACTGGGCCGATTGACAAAATTCAAATTGCGTTCTTCATGTCTCGAAAGCGCGACTTAGGATATATATTAGATTTATATATAGCACTATTCTAATATAGGTATTTTGACACAAAATCGGACTTTTTCTGAAATAACATACAATTTTTTTCATATTCGATTCTACAGCTCAAATTACGCCTAAATATGAAATTTTGTAAAATTTGGAGCGAAAATTACGGAGAAATTCACAAATTTATGTTGGCACTTTTTGTCAGTTTGCACCAGAATAGTTCACTTGGCGAACTTCTTAATATATGGCAACCTAGTTTCCTTTCTCGTGAGAGGAAAGAAGTCACCATCGTTCCTTTTTTCCAAATAATATTCTTTATATTATTTTTAATTATAAATTATTATTTTAAGTAATGTTTCTTTTCGAATTTCATTTTAATTGTTTAAGTTGTTTTTTTTTTTTTTTTTTTTTTTCGAATAACTGTTAAAAATTTCTGTTTACCTATTCGAACTGCGTAAATAAAGGTGCATCGTTTATTTTTTATCAAATAGTTTTCTTTATATATATTTTTTGTCATAGTTATTATTTTAGGTAATTTTTAAATTTTTATACTTTTATTTTAATTGTTTGTGTTGCATTGTCTCTTCAAATAATTGTTTTAAAATTTTCTATTTATTCCTTCGAACTGAGCATTTTAAATCTATTTATTAATATAAATTTTTCAGAATTTGATTTTATTTATTTGAATTGCGTTTCTTACGGAAGAATACTTTGTAACCCAGACTACAATGCGTTTGAAAACTGCATATATTAAAAGAGAAAATACAGTAAAGCACAGTTAACATGCCTTTTAATGTTCCGTTCAGAAAAGATATATATAAATAAGAGAGATGTATAACCGACATTTTAACTTAGGATGACTTGCATACACAGCTTTAAACAGTTTTATCATTGTGCTCATTCCTTTACACAATTTTATCCTACATTGGTTTCTTAAAATGTTATTCATATTTTAATCAAATATTTTATTTTGAAATAGCAAGAATCAAATATCATAAGATTAAAATGTTTTAAATTTAAAAAAAAATACTAATACTAAATTTTATACAAAAATTTATTTTTTCTTCTCTTTTTCTTCAAGCATTCTACTTTATTCTTGGTCTTTTTCTTTAGGCATTCTGCAAGTATATCAAAAAGCATCCAACTTTTCGAAATATCTTGATATTTCTGACAATCATTTTGAATAAAGTTATTGCCTTCCATTTCATAAAGGCCCACCGGCGGCCGAGCGGTAAAGACGCTGAACACTGGTAGTTCGGTCCGATGTTCGAATCCCACGAACAGGCTGGCTGCATCAGCGTTTTCGTGGTTTTCCCCATGTGTAACGTATATACGAGCCAGTTTACCTCAGAAATTCCTCCACGAAGGCATCCCTCCCTTTAGGCAGATAGCCCTCGTGTGCTTTGCCATAATTAAATAATCCAATCTAATCCAATCCAATCCTTAATTAAATATAATTGATTTGTAACTTCTACTAGAACTGACGGTAAGAATTGAAGTGCAAATAAATAATATAGTGTGCAATCTTAATTAATATAAAATTAAAAATATTTGCATAGAAAAATATTTGCATTCAAACAGAAAGTTCTTTGAAATATTTGCAATTACTGTATAAGAAGGATTTATTAATAACCGTAATAATTACTTATTATATTACTGATGATTAGGATTCAGTTCTTGACAATTACATTCTAAATTAGAATTTTAAGGATATAATGAAATACGCTACGCACAAAAATACATTTTAGGATAAAAATGAGTTGATTTTTATGTTTTAAAACTTCTTAAATTCATTTAATAAACATCGTATCCTCGTAGTTAATTGAATCCAGAATGTTGTGGTGTCGTTTATATAATTATTCTTACTTGTCCACAGAAGCTTCCTGACTTATCCAGCCATTAAGTAGCTGCAGATCATTTCTACATAAACCACTTGAACTTCCATTAATTCAGTCTCTAGAGGGTTGTATGTTTATATCATAATTTGACTTTATAAAAATTATTATTCTAAATCTTATGCTTCTATAAAAATATACTGTGCTTTAAAAATGTGGATGATAGTATCAGCCGCTCTTTGAGCCACTTCAAAAGCAACAGTTTGTTTAGAAATAAATTATGCAGTTAATGTCATAAAATTCAAATAAATATCAAACGAAAATTCTCAGTTTTAGACAATTCGATTTAAACGAAGTAAAGTAGCAGACTATAAAACGCCGAAGGTAAAAATTTACTCTTATTTTTTCTTAAGGAAGATAGAGAGAAATTTTAAAAAAGTAGTTAAAAATTTGAATAATATCATCTATAATTTAAAAAAATAGCTTTTCATATAGTATTAATAAATATTTATTACGCATCATTGAGGGAATAAATGTCAAATAATTAATTCTCCGTAAAATTTTACTTGAAATTTAAGGTTAAAAATAGCTGTGGCAATTCACTGTAACAAAAACCCATAGACCACATTTGGCGTTATTATCGCTCAAAAAAAAAAGATGCCAAATTTCAAAACTCGAAAATATGTAAATTCATGTATATCTTCGAAAATTTTGAATGAAAATGTCTAATTTTTTGCAGATATGCTTAAAAATGCACCTACTTTAAGATGATGATAAAAATTTTATAGGTTATAATTCAAATTTTTTTTCGAAAAATTTATAAAAATTATTTAAAAATAGAAATTTAAAAAATAAAACACGAAAAATGGGTAAATTTTATTTGGAATGAACCTAAATTTCGAAATGTAAAAGGAACAATCAAAAAAGTTTAATAAAAAAAGATATTAATAAATATTTGCCAAATTCAATTAACATTGAGGAGCTAAAATTTTGAGAGCTAATGTTTTAAAAACTACTCGTACGATGTTTACAAAACTTGGTATTTTGGCATAATTTGAGACGTAGAATCGAAATATGGAAAAAAATTGATATGTTATTTCAGAAAAAAGTCCGATTTTGTGTCAAAATACCTATGTTAGAATAGTGCTATATATAAATCTAATATATATCCTAAGTCGCGCTTTCGAGACATGAAAAACGCAGTTTGAATTTTGTCAATCGGCCCAGTAGAATGGAAGATATAGCACTGTCCCTTTTTTTTTTTTTTTTTTTTTTTTTTTTGAGCAGTGTACATGAGTCTTCCAGTGTAACTTTCTTATTGACTTCTACAATAGTGTTGCTATTTTTATTCTTATATGACTCATTTTTGCTTTCTTTTGTGCACTTAGTTCTTATTTTTAAGGGGAAAACTTTGTCTTCTGCACTCATTGACAAAGTCATTCAATCTCCTGTTTGTGATCTAAGAAATTCATCTTCTTGTGATATGCTAGTCATGTCTATCACATTTTGCCAGGAAATGTGAAATTTCTCACTGAGATCACTTTTCCAAATCTGCAGTTTCACATTTGCTTTAACTGTGCCTTTCAATTTGTCTTTACCCAGATTTTGTTGTTCTTTGTACAGCTTCTGTATATCAGCTTTTTCTTAACAAGGATATTTGTTTTCCTCCACACTTCCTGTAGTTTAGTATTGGTAGATTTAACAGGATCCGAAAGTGTTTCTTTCATTTCCTTGTGATGGCAAATAAAAACACCACTAGACACTTTTCATAGCAGCTAAATTCCTCTTTTGGTTCCCATTTTAATGTTTAGTTACCGACACAAGATGAAAGAAATACATGAGAAGCCTATTAGTACAAAGCACTTCAATATTACGTATCAGTAGACTGAGATAAAAGTGATTAATGTGGGCAACCCCTAAATATTATGTAATCTTCTTGAAATTTGTCATATATATATATATATATATATATCTTTTACATCACTGTGGTGTGGGGCGTAAGCAAAGCCATATGAAAATCATATCTTTGTGAAAATGAAACAGCCTAATATTTCATTTTTCCCCTAATATACATTTAGGGACATACACCCTAATATACATTTGTTAATTGCTGTGGCATTTTATTTAATTTTTTTCTCTTTTGAAATATTCTCAACTTTCTTTACTTGGATTTTTAATTATCATTTTGGCAACTTAGATTCCATATTATTTAGTTAGTTACTTTATTACCTGCCACTGTGTTTTACATAGCTGTATATTCACATTTCAATTGAACGTTGGGAAAACGTCTGTTCAAGATAAGTGGTATTTGTATATAAATTAAAGGTAGGAACAAATAAAATTTGTCTACCTTTTCAGTGGGGTTCCATGCATACGGCTGATAGCTGTCTTTTATTTCTGTAATCTAATCCTCTAAATATTAGTAATCTGATAATGAATATAAGGTTGCATAAGACAGCATTTAATGAGAACAAATATATATTAATGGTATGATGCATTAAAAGCATCTAACTTATTATTAGGCACCACTGCTTTGTGCAGTAATAGCTGATAGAAAAGAAATCTTTCAAGTATAATGCATTTTTCATACCTATCATTTTTCACCAATCTGTGAGCTATTTGTTATGTTTCAATAATTTGAATTGCGGCAAGATATATTTACAAGTTCCAAGTGTTATCAAACAGTTATCAAACATTGGCATGTCTTCATTTAACATGCCTTTGAATATAAAGCAGTAGCCTTTTGTATATGCAGTGTTGATAGAATGTCAGATGTCTCAGTTTACACTATTTCAGCATGATGGAATAATTAATACTATTTAAAACATTTTTCTTCATTAAGCATGATATCTAGAATTTACAGAATACTATAGAAAAGTTTTACAATTATAAAAGTCTTTTAACTAAATTTTTTTCTACCGTTAGAGTGCAGGTTTGCAGTTTTTATGTCTTTTCTTAATGCAATTCACATTTTTTTTTTTTTTTTTTTTTTTTTTTTTGTAGTCATTAGCGCATAGCATGAAACTCTTGAATTAGGTGTTGATTAATTATTTGCTGCTAAAATTTATGAGAAAGGAAAAACCCCCCCCCTATAAAGTTAAAATTTTTCCCCCCCCCCCCCCCCCCCCCCCCCCCCCCCCCCCCCCCCCCCCCCCCCCCCCCTTATTACCTTCCTCCCTCCCCACCCCCCCCCACCCCTTAAATCCTTTCCCCCCCCTTCTTCCCCCCCCCCCCCCCCCCCCCATCCCCCCCCCCCCCCCCTCCCCCCCCCCCCCCCCCCTCCCCCCCCCCCCCCCCCCCCTCCCCCCCCCCCCCCCCCCCCCTCCCCCCCCCCCCCGAGTAACAATAAATTATTTCCTAAAATACAGTGTTTGAGCAAATGCCAGATGATTGTACAGAAAAAATATTGTCTATATACCTGTTGGCTGCCATAAAGTTATATTGTTATGTTCTCCCCCCCCCAAGAGTAAATATTCCAATAATGTTTTAAGGCAGTCACTCTGCTTCAATTAAATAATTAAACTATATAAATATTTAAACTATATAAAAATTTTTACAAAATGATCTGATGACAAAAGAATGTTTTTTGTTGGAAGTATCAAGTTGGTTTATATACTTTTAGAAGAAATTATTTGTGCATGGGATCCTATAATGGGAAAAAAAAGGAAATAAAAATATTTAAAAAAAAAAAATTTAATATTTTACATTTTTAAAAAAAATTAAAGTTTTTGAAAGTACCAGCAGGAACAAACATTATTTGATACTTTTGTAATGTAATGTCGACCACTGACAGAAATTTTGGCATTGGTTGCCATTTGTTACTGTGGGATTCTGAAGCAAGTGGTCATCCATAATAGGCACTAAGCCACACTACTGGCCGGTCGCTAGGCTACGTACCCATTATTTTTAATTATATTATATATATATATATATATATATCAGTTAGGATCAGAATATTTAGCAAATAATTTAATGCTATAGGTATACCAGATTCACGTGAAATGTGTTAATTAATTTTATCACATTGAATTTTTTTTTCCATAATGAAATTTAATGTAATTTATTTTTCAATCGCAACCATTTGCTCAAATCAGGCAATATATAGCAACAATTCATAATTCAGACCTTACTTGATTCAATTTAATGAAACTGAAAGAAGTATTGTCTAACTGGATTGGTGTCTTGAATCAAGTATGGTCTGCCTTTGATTAAATCAATGAATATTTTATTGTAGATCATTAATGCTGGGTTTGGATGTTCATAAACTTGATGCAGTAGCAGCTATTGATGAAATATGTGAAGAATCTCTGCTTGAAGTTGACATTACAGAATTTATTTTTATGATATGTGGCCATGTAAAAGATTTCACAACAAAGCATTCTGTTCGCCACATGCATCTTACCCGAGACAGTGATGAAGATAAAGTATCTAGTGAGGACAAACTAGAAGATGCTAATTTTGGATTAGAGAAGTAAGGATTATATTCATGCTTTATCAATAATAATAATAATAATAATTAAAAAATCTGCAGCTTAAGTTTCACAGCATCAGATGGAACCTAAAACAACAATACCATATTAGTGAAGAAATAATAATTTTTCAATCGCTGCTGTCAAAGTTCATTTTATATGTGAGTTTATCTTTTATAGTACTTCAGTTGTTAAATATTGAAATTTGCAAAATCTTTGTTTTAAATAGGATCTTGTATGTTTATTGTTTGGTTAATGAATATGTTATTAATATTATTGGTTAAAAAGTTCCTCCTTTAATTTGCATCTCTTTTGCCTTTCAGAATTCCTGAAAAATGTCTTTTTCCATTATCTGTGCTGCAGAAACATCAGCCATGTGAGGAATTGCAACAGAAACATTTAAATATAAAAGACAAATTTTCAGACATAATTCAGAGTTATTTCAAAGTTATCCCTTCACGGGCTGATTATTTCTTTTTTAATCCTGTGGATGAGGAAATGGAGGTAAAAATAATTTAAATAGCCTTTAGATTTACAAGTTACAGCAAGTTGTTCTCTAGTAATTTTTTTATATGAGCTTCAGTAACTTGAAATTAAAGTTTTAAGGTTTTAATTCAGGTTTTATGTTAAATGTTACTTTTAATGAATATTGTTTATATTGATCCATCATTTTCTCACCTTCAGGAACCATCTTTAAAACTAGAAAATGAAGATAGCCAGGAAGAAGATGGTTTAGAGAGTGTGGTAAATTTTGGAGATGATTGTGTGGGTAGGTTGTATTTTAGTGGAAAACTGCAAGTACTATTGAATTGTAATTTTCTTACCAAGAATTAAAAGCTGTGCAGTTAAAATTTGATTTTAAATTAACTTCTCTTTACCAAAACAATTGTGCAGATAGAATTAATAGAATTATTGCCATACAAACATATTTTGTTACTTTTATTTATCCAGTGTTAAGTAAAATATGTTCATCTTGGTTTTTGTCATTAATATTTTAAAATAATTTTATTATGACTAATTTGCTTGTCTTCCTTCTGGTTTATCTGAGGCAAATGTCCCACTTATCTCACTGTTGTCCCTCCCTTGGTTATGGAAACTAGTAATACATAAAATTTTAGCATGTACCTTTTTAAAACAATTGTACCTAAAAGTGACTAGTATCTCTTAGAAAATAAATAAGCAACAATGTTTAACTTAATTTGCAAATACTTTGCTATTTAATTTTGTTTTGGCCATCTAGAAACGTTTGTTTCCACATGTTGATCAGTGTTAAAATTTTAAATCATTTCTTTACTATATAATCTTGAATTCTTTTACATCTTAAACTGAAATGACTTTAGTTAATTTATTGTATAAATTGAAAATTTAATTCTAAAAGCAATATATGATATGTCTATAATTATCTTTTTGTGGCTTTTATTTTCGCAACCACTGGCCATAGACATATACTTCCAGTTACAAAACTATTTTAAATATGGCTGTTATAATAACTGTTATATATAACAAAATTCATGTTGGCACTTTTTAAACTAAAATATCCAATTAATTAAAATTTTAAATTCTAGTTTACTATAAAATCTTGCAGTTCATTAGTTACATTAAAACTTATCATGACATTTAGTTTTAAAGTTTTAAAATTAAAACTTATCGTGACATTTAATTTAACCCTTTCTTGACGGGTGTCCCTACGAACATCTCTCACAGCTGGACATCCCATCCACTCATCAGTAGAGATTGAATTCAAGGGACGGGTGATGCGTAAAAGCATTTTAAGCAGTGATGCTTTTTGTAGACCACTAGATGACACCCTATGTCCATTACTTTTGAAATGAACGCAGCTTTAGGTTCCTGAACTTCAATTTGTATACGTTCTGCCTGACATTGGTATTTTACTCATCAGCTGTTGTGAAAGTGGCAGGAAAGCATAATGAAAGCAGAGCTGGGCACTTTAAATTGCCATGTGCTAATATAAACATTCACATTTCTGATTTACAAGGTGAATCTGAACAAGTGGGCCAAACTTTAGGGGGTGATATAAGGGAGCTATATGAACAATATTTATCACAGAATGTATTGTCAGAACGCAAGCAGTGTGAAGAGTTAAAGGGTAGTTTTTCACTGTCACGTTTAAAGAATTAACACAAGAATGAGAGGAGATACTTCAGAAAACATTTTTAGCAAGAATGTAATTGATGTACATTCTCAAAGAAATTAAAAGACTTTCTACCAGCTGTAATGCATACATCACACCTGTGGAATAGGGACTGATCCACATTTTTGAAGACACCAGGCATTTACCAAGTACGACTGGCAACAATAGCAATCCTGACTACTAGATCCGTATTGGTTTCGGTGGAGAAATCATAGATTAGGCTTTACATACGGCCCCACAGGAAAAAGCCCAAACACAAGAGATCAGTTATGTTGGTGGCCAATCTATGGGACCACCTCGACCAATCCATCACCCTGGAAATTTTGTGGTTCATATAACCAACCGTCCTCTTGTTATCCACAGCAGAAAATGCCATTGGGTGCGAGAACTGATCCTCTTTGTACCATTCACAATGGCACCTAACTGCTCACTAGTTACGTACTGACCATACATTCTACGACGGATATTGCTCATTTAGCTGCCTTCTGTAACTCCCTGGTCCACTTGTTTAGATTCACTCTTATATATCTGATCCCTTTTTTATTATCCTTCCCACCCCCCCGTCTGTTATGTACAGTCTTTTAGGCTTACTATATAGGGTTCTGTTACATTTTGCATTGCCTTCAGATATATTTTGGGTTCTTCCCTTTTTATTTCGGAAAGGCCTCGAACCTAATTTTTTATGGTGTAAAGGCATTATTTATCAGAGGAAGAATACACTCGTATGGTAAATGAACCAAGTACTGACACAGATCAGAATGATGACTTATTTTCTAAAGTGTTTGGAAGTGATACTTATATAACGATTGTGATATGGACATTTTGTCTGTGACAGAGCTCAGTGAGTACCTGCCGTCAACTTCCTGTGAAAGTTGCCTCAAGGTTCAATTTGAACTCTTGTGCTTTAGGAATTGCATCCCCATGCATTTACTGGAACAGTTAGAATAAAGTCTACAGTAAATGCTAAAAAAATTGATTTTAAAAATATTTTCTTTGATGATAATCTGCTAAATTTGATTGTTGAAGAAACAAACAGTTTTCTCAAAACTCTAAAAAAAGTGCTTCATCAACTTCTAAGTCAGCCAAATTTTCAGGTAAATACTGGGAATATAAAAGTATTTTTTGCAATGATAATACTGATGGGCATTATCAAGAAGCCTAATTTTAAAATTTATTTTACTGCAAATGAAATATTTGCTATTTTCCAAGAGAGTTACACCTAGAGATACGTGCCGTAATATTTAAAAATTTCTGCATTTCACCTCAGACTAAAAAATAGCTAAAAAGTTGGGAAAACTAGGAGTAATCATAGAAAATCTAAAAAATAAATTTAAAAGCAACTATGGACTTGAGGAAAATATTTTCATCGATGAATCCCTTTTGCTTGAAAAGGATGTCTTGGCTTTTGACAGTGTGTCCCATTCTAAAGATTGTGTTATGAGATAAAAATATATAAGTTATGTGAATCAATTATCAGTTATGTATGCAATTAATTTACTGTGGAAAGGGCACAGAAATGTTAAGCAGCGACAGGTCTTACAAAGAAAGAGTAGTGAAAACATTCATGAGCAACATGTGAGAAAGGGTATAATTTATGTTTGGATCACTTCTTCAGTTCCCCATCAATTGCAGAATATTTGTATTCTGTGGAAACAAATGTTTCTGGAACAGTATTAAAAACATGAAAAAGAATGCCTGAAGACTTTCCAGGGGGAAAAAAAAACTAAAAAACGGGTGAATTGGATGTAATGCAGCAAAACAACATATGCATCATTGCCTTCAAAGAAAAAAAGACATGTTTATGCGAACAAGCATACATGGACTAGAAATGGCTAAGTCTGGCTGAAAAGAGAGAATTATTGAAGAAGACATTTTAAAACATACACGTACTATGGATTACAACAAAAACATGGTTAGTGTAGACATAGGAGATGCATATATGACATACTATTCATGTTTTCAAAAATCATTTAAATGATACAATTTTTTTTTTTTAATTGATGGGCATAACAATATTGAACTCACATTCTTTTTGACATGAAACATAGCATTAAAACTCTGTTTCTCCACTTTAAAACGAAAATGATTGAACAAAATTTCGAGAACTTTATTATCAAGAAGAAAAGCAATTTGCTGTCAGATCTGTACCAGCATATATCTGATTATCTGGTAGGCATTTTTCTACCCTCTGTATGAACAAAAAGGGTGAAAAAACCCACAGATGCACAGTGTGCCTCAAATTGTGCAAAAGCAAAGAAAAAAGCAGCAGTCATATTATGCTTATAGATCATGGAATGCTGGACTTTGTGTTTCTCATGCTTCGAGATTTACTACACTCAGTCTTCATTTTAAATTTTGTTACTTCTTACAGTAAATAATCTTTATTGTGTTGTTTTATTAATTTTAAACCTTATTAATGAATTTTGTCAATTAAAACTTTTGAATAGCACTTCCAAAAATTATTTTACAAGATAAGCAATTTTTTAAATATATTTTCATATAAAATAAAGGAAAAAGATTACTAAATGCTAATTTTAACATATATAAGAGCTTAAGTAATAATCTCAAATGGTGTCAAAAATTATGATGCTAGAACTTAAACTTTCTTTGTGTTTTTTTTTCCCTTAAGTTAGCAATTCCAAACCCCGATCCTATGCGATGTCTGCCTTTGGCTCCATTCTGTCCCACACGAACGTCTTAAACAAAGGTGTGCCGTCATGAAAGGGTTAAATCATGTTTCTAAAAATTCAGGGATCTTAACAGAAATTGAAAATTGAAATATTTAAATTTGTGCTAAACTAAAAATGAAATAACAATTTTGGAATTTTTTTAATGTTAATATATTAAGTAAAAAGTTTTGATTAATGCAAACCTTTATGAAAAAGAGATCTTTTTTGAAGAATCTTATGTGATTTCATGTTCTAGAAAACAATGGCAGACTTCAGGAATTGGCATATAAACAAACACATAACATTACTTGCATAAATTAAAAATTGAAATTTTCTAATCCATTTAATTTTTTTCTAAGACAAGTATGATCGTAAAATATTGCATATGAATATTGTTAACATAGTTTTAGCACTTGAAAACTTGGGTACTACTTTGTATAAAAAAGATTTCATCGCAGCAGACGTAACAAATTTACAAATTAAAAAATGTTACACACTAGTAAATCACAAAGAAATACGCTGGTGGGCAATTGCTAAGGATGGATCACAAACGGCTATATAGCATGTAAAAAGTAAGTGTGATTGGATGCCAAGTGAAATAAAATAATACCAGAATACCAGGACATGACAAGAAAGATAATTTATTATGCTCTGAAATCTAGAATAGAAGGCTCTGAAAAGTGTTCAAGGAACAAAATGGTCATTTTGTGTTGAACACGTAAAAGTGATAAAAATGCAGTTAATGTTCATAGACATTCTTGCATAAGATGTCAGTAGGAGATATGTCGATGGATCTCATCATGGGGCACGATGGAAGATTCCAGGCGTTCTGTCATAATTTGCACAACATTATCCAGCAGCTGTTGGGTAATTTATCCAATTCCTCTGTCAGTGAACGGATGAGGGTGTCCTTGTTTATTGGTGGGCATTGTTGACCAGCAAGACTGT